GCAATGCTGACAAAAGAGAGTTGACGTAGCGCACGGCTTCCGGGCTGATAAAGGCGGTAATGCCAGTGGTAAAGTCAATCATAGTGCTTGCTTGCGCGTGATTGTCGCTGAGGCTGTTTGGGTCTAAATCACTAAGAGAAGCATCCGTCCCAAAAAAGTCATTATCGGGCTCGTCTTCGAGCTCCTCAAAGGTTGCCTCGCGACCATCTGGACGAACGCCTCCTAGTGGAAAGTGTGGAGCAAAGTATTGACTGGAGAATGCAACAGATGAGTGTTCAATATGCTCCTTTTGCTGCCAGTCTTGACTTGGCTGTTGGATGGCGGCAAGCCGCAGGTCTTGGGATAGGACACTTGCTCTCTGTCCTGATACGCGCCTCTCCTTTTCCGTACCGCTGGGCTGAGTAGACAGTGCGGTCTGTCTTGATCTGGCACGACTACGCGGTTGACTCCTGGGACCACGAAGACTGGTATTACTTGAGCTGGAGGATAAAAAGGAGCTTTGCCGTCGCAAACGACCAGAAAAGCGAGACGTCCCGATACTTCGGTAGGATGCGTCGTCATCATCATCCACTTCTGTGAGAGGGAAAGCTGGCGGCGGTACACATTGTGCTGGGGGGTCAAACGGCTCAGGCACAAAGTTTGGGTCGACTGGCTTTCGAAGGAGAAAAGGCGTCCTTCCTGTGCGTTGATCCTCCCGCCGGATCAAGTCTTGCTGAATCTTCAGCTCTTGTTGGAAGTGAAACTTGCGCCCAATAGAAGCCAGTTGGACATCTGTCTTCAAGTAAGCCGCAGTATCTACTGGGTGGTTACGTCGAGAAGTATGTCTTGACGCAGATTCCGCGTTCACACAAGAAATTTCGATCTTGGGTATGCTGATGTTCGCACGCTTCGAGTAGTGAGTGCCACCCCAGTCATTGCTCCGTACTTGAATAGATCCTGTAGACAGAAGAAAGGCTGCTTCGTCCACATGCAACCACAAGCGAACCGAAGCAATGTCTACTCTCACGAAAGTGACATCATGAAAGACAAGAGAAGAGTATGGAACAAGGGCATTCTCAACATCGTCGAACATAAATCCAAACGCCACACCGCCTTTGGCCAACGAGGTCAAAAAGTCGGCGGTGCATTCGCCATCTACCATTCCGACTGAAACATCCCAATTGCAAAGATATGTGGGTTCAGAAGGAGGCAGGCCGAATGTACGGTGGCCAAAAACACGAACTCCGTCAACAAAAAGCTGTGTGTTGGTGTAGGAAGAGTTTGGGCTACCGGGTGAGAGGGACGCACATCCCAATGACAGGCTAAGCGGACTCAGCAGGAGCTCCAAGTCCATATAATAATTCGTGAATCGAAGATCAACTGATAGGTTAGCCAGTTCGCATTGCACGTAACGGCTGGCCGAATATAGATTGACAGGCAGCAGAATGCGCGGATCATCGACTCTGACAGACAAGATAACATCGAGATCGTTTGACTTTTTGTTTGGAGGTCGGTGCACAGCGTCGGTGTTGGATTTTTGAGCCTCGAGTTGAAGCTGTTCTTGATATTCGTCAAGCGTCCGGAAGTGGACAAAATCCCCGAAATAGTTGTCCTTCAGCAGTATTAGATATCTTATGATGAATCCGTAGAGGTATGCGTATGGAGATTGTCCATGAACGTCTAATATCAGAGTATCTGTGTTTCCAACAGATGTAGTGGCATTGTATTCGTAGCTACCAGTTACAGCAAGACTCTCCCCATGGCCAAGCTCATTGGAGCTTAAAAAGGCAGCTTGGGTGTTAGACTGGGGGGCGTGTAGTGTCAAATCAAAGGTGTCGGTTCGAATGTCAAACGGAATAGTATTCCTGCTTGGTCTGAACTTGTCTAGGGGTATAGATGTTTCCGCTTTTAAAATTGGGCTAGATAAAATTAGGTAGGTGTTGTCGTCATGCGCGGTGGCTTTGTCGATGATATTTTCGTCATTAACATTAAGATATAACTGCAAGTTGTTCAGGTTCAATTTCAAGTGGTATATGTACGGCGTAAATACGAGATATTCGGATGGAGGGCCAGTGGCCCAGTCGTCGACCAAGTCGATTAAAAGGAAGATGTGGTCCCGTAGGAGATAAAGCTTCATCTCTTCGCAGGTTATATTGAACGACCAGTTGCGCAGGGTATTCCATGTTAGAGGGTTGGACAGGTCACAAGAAATGCGCTGTGGCCCCGATTTCCACATCAAGTCATGGTTGACACTGCTTCTAAGCTCGGTGCTCGGTAGGTCAATGTCCAAGCGGTTCTGGTAGCCCGTTGATCGTCCTAGCATATCCATTGAATAGGACACTGTGGAATTCGACGGAACCTTGATCTCTAGCCAACCGGCAGGCCGAGCTGGTTGAGCATTCCCCTTGCTGCTCTTTTTGTTCCGATTGCGTCTCTTCTTGCCAGTAACGGCCTGCCGCCCGACTGGAGGTTCTTTTCCACGCCAACGCCAATTCTTGGACTCCTCTCTGGTGGGAATTCTTAGAGTCACAGCGTCTTCTAGTTCAACAAAAAGGTTGAACTGTGTTGCAACCCTCCAGGAACCGGGAGCCAATGGCACAGCAGCCGTGCTATTCTTAGACAGCGTTGGGTAAAAGACTCGCTGTAAGTCTGCTCTTTGTCGATCAGCCCAAGGGCCATAGTTGACTGTCCCACCTTTGACTGACAAGGACATTCCCCACGCTGGAGGCTCAGTTCCGTTAATGCTGGCGTGGAAGCTCGAGCTGCTGTGTCGGCGAGCGTTGGCGGTGATTTTGGATACAGAGTCCCAATAAACCGTGAGCGCGGCTGAAGGAGAGTCAAGAATTGTATTGACAGCACCATATTCGACAGAAGACCACCTTGCCTTGTCATCTTGATACCTATCATCCAGATACCTTGATAGACCTTGCCAATGACCTGAGCCAGGTATTTGAGACACACCCGTGCTCATTGCGGCTCTTGAATCGGCGGAAAAGGATTCTACAGAGCGACGCAGATATGGTACCATGTTTCGAAGGGAGTTGAAGACTTTCCGACGGCGATTTCGGAAGAAGGATCGTTGTGCAGGTGTTTCCAAGCTCGAGGTGTCCTCTCGTCGCCTGGTTGCTCGGGCCACCTGGTCCTCTTTGAATTCGTCGTTCTCACGCATTTCGATGACGGGGTGGTCAAATTCTATTTTGAACAGTTGACGGTACGGATCAACTGTATTCGTAGGCCCTGCGTCTACGATTGTCGAAGCCGAGTTCGCCTTGACGATTAGAATTGCCTTGGTATTGTCATTGCCAACTACCACGGCGGGTTTCTGAAATTCCACGTGTATCGGGAGCAGCTGAAGCATTGCTGGCAGAGAATGGCTGGCGTCATTACCGTCTACGGTCTCACTGACGCTCTGGGAAGCGGTAGACGAGCGCTCCGGGGGCGAGGATGGAGGAGGCTGGCTGGGTTTCTCCGAAAACTGTGCCTGGGCTGTTGCATCGACCGCGAGCTTATTCTTTTCTGCGGAACCATTTTGGTAGCCCCTCCGAGACGTAAGACCAGCCTCTTGCGTTGCGTTGGAAATGCCGCTGGATTTCGAGGCGGAAGGGTCGTCACTGAGCAAGCCATTGAGAAGGTCATTGTATGCCGGGCTCCGGTTGTACACAAACCACTCTACACCGACCAGCCTGGCATGGATGCGACACGGCAAATTGGAATTCTTTTGGCTGTCCGATACCGAAGAACCATGGGAGAAATTCGATACGTTTATGTCGGCGTCTCGTACTCGGCGTAGCCAATATCGCCAGGTGATATCTCCGTGCTGGACGAGGAAGGTTTCGTTGGAGCCGTGGTAGCGTAAGCCGGTGAAGAATATGCGGCCCGCAAGAAGAGAGATTTGGATCGCTTTGATGTCAATATAGACTCTGTATCTGTGCCATGTATATGTGCGAATGGCATACGACACGACGGAGGCAAAGAGTCGGTTGAAGTACAGCAGGAAGAAGACGGTTAGCAGGCCGCAAATGATGAAGAAGACGAGAAACTCGCTGGAAAGGGGGCGACTGGTTAGTTATGCAGTTTTTCGTGAAAGTCAAAGGACGTATTAGCTCAGCGTACAAATTGAAGCCCAGGCGAGCGTCTCGAGCCTCCAGGATCACGTCGACGGCTGTCATTGTCTCGAGTTGGAGGTCGCCTTGACAGCCCTCCTGGCCGGTCTGAACTCAACAACCATATCCAGAGAGAACAGCAGGGGCAGCGACGCGCATTGGACGCGCACTTGAGGGCCGATGGTTGGAAGCCCCGTCGCGACAGGTAATTGGGACCTATTGCTTCCTGGTGGACGCATTTAATGTTTAATGTTCTAAAGTTGGGACATGGCGCATTAAGGACTGGGTCGAAGTCGTGGAGCTCTGAATGCATGTTGCATGTGCCTAATCTGCCTGGCAGCTTCTCCGTCCCGGTGGGTCCGGTCCACCCAACACTGGACTAGTACATAGTACATTGAACATCAATACCAGACTACGGTGCTCCGCGAGTAATCCGTACATGTATACCATACTTATGCACTACGGGACTGGACGCTAATAGGCCATTTAGCGGCCCGCGCAAGTCAACAGAGCAGCCCCATCTCGCTATGCCGGACTGTGACAGCTTGATTGACAGTGCTGCCACATTTGCCAGAATTCGTCATTCACAGCCAACCAGCGCGAAGCCAATGCTCCTGTGCCATCCACCAACTTATGCACGTCTACGTCGTCACACACGCGGATTCGCAGCTTCGTCCTCTCAGGTGCTCCTTTGTCCATCGTCGCCATTACCGCCTTCGTACCCGAACCGCCGTCATCGCGCCAGTCGACCAGCATCGGTTGCTTGCTCCGGACAATTTCCCCGCGCTATCAGCCCTCGATGGTCACAGTGCTTGCCCATCAGCCTCGACGTCTTTGACTTTCTTTCCTTGCCCAGCCATGACCTAGCTTTTCTGCGGCTTCACAAGCTACGTCTCGGCAGCCGTTTTCGTTGCCGTCATGTCTGTTACTAGCGCTAGCATCGCCTCTGATGGAGGCACAGGGGCCAAATTTACCTATGCTACCACGGTGATCGCTGGCGTTGCCTCGTTTGCAGCAACATTACTCTCCGTCGTGTAGGTTTTGTCCCAGATGATGCAAGAACGCACACATGCCGTGTCAAGCTGACAGTCCCGCTCCCTTAGCTCGATATGGCTTCAGACGAAAAACTACCGGAAGCCCCTGCTTCAGCGCTACGTTGTTCGAATCCTGCTCATGGTTCCCATCTATTCGATTGCGTCCTTCACAAGCATGGTGTCGCTTACAGCGGCTGCTTTTATCGACCCTGTTCGAGACATATACGAAGCCTTCACCATTTACACCTTCTTCCAGCTCCTCATCAACTACCTGGGCGGAGAAAGAGCCTTGATTATCATGGCGCATGGTCGTGCCCCCGTCGAGCACCTCTGGCCGATGAACCACATTCTACGCAAAGTTGACATATCGGATCCGCATACATTTCTGTCCATCAAGCGGGGGATCCTCCAATATGCGTGGCTCAAGCCCATACTAGCCATTGCTGCCATCGTCATGAAAGCCACGGGCACGTATCAAGAGGGATACATTAGCGCCAAGTCGGGCTACTTTTGGAGCGGAATCATTTACAATATCAGCGTTACTGTGAGCTTGTACTCGCTTGGTTTATTCTGGGTCTGCATGCACCGCGACTTGACGCCGTTTCGCCCTGTGCCAAAATTCCTCTGCATCAAACTTATCATTTTTGCGTCCTACTGGCAAGGCTTCTTCTTGTCCATTCTCGTTTGGCTCGGCGCCATTCCAGACAACGTCCAGGGGTATACGAGGGACAATCTTGCCGCTGCCATTCAAGATGCATTGATTTGCGTGGAGATGCCGGCCTTTGCAGTTGCCCACTGGTACGCCTTCTCATGGCATGACTTCGCCGATAACAGTATTCTATCTGCGCGCATGTCCTTGCACCACGCGCTCAAGGACTCCTTTGGCGTCAAGGATCTCATCGAGGACTCCAAGGAGACATTCCGGGGCAACAACTACGGCTACCGGGCATTCGATTCTGGAGACAAGGTCATGGCCCACGAAGACTCCCAGTCACGCCTCGCAAGGATCAACGCGGGCATGAGATATGAGCGTGGAGGGAAAGCAAAATACTGGTTGCCCAAACCAGGCGACGTCAGCGCTACCTCTCCACTGCTCGGCGGGCCCAGTTCAAGTAGAACTGGCGATACATTATTTGAACAGCAGCATGGGACCTTTGATGAACCCGAGTTGGATGAGGATGAAGAGCGCTTGTATAATTCTGCAAGACAGTTGAAATACGGCGATTGGAATGTGCGTACATGCTTCATGCTCACATGGTGTAGCAAACTAATAAATTCCAGTACCCCGTCATCACAGCCAGCGAGCCACTGGCTGAGCGATACCGATCGTCGATGAGCAGCCACAACGGTACATCACCAGCCTGGTCGACCAGGTCAGCGCGACCACCGCCGCCGCAAGCAGCAAACTCGAACTCAGGCTCATCTCGACAATCATCATCCCAGCGAATAGAAGAGCCACAGCCTGTCGTCGTCGTCAAGAAGAAGAAGAAGACGAAAAAAGTAGTGAAGCATCCGGAATCAGATCCAGCAGGCCTGGGTCTCGGAAAAGGCGCTCCTGCTCATTCTCCTGATCCTACAGGCACAACTGACGCAAGCGCAAGTGTGCAGAAACCTGAGCCGGAAGAAGCCGGACAAGGGGGAGATTCAGCAGCCACAGATGAGGGACAGCAAACGCATAGATACCACGTGGATGGTAGCGACGAGTTTTGCAACGTGTGGGAATAAGCGATCTAGATTGCATCTTGCCTCATGTACATGCTCGGGGTGTATACTAAGATGCTTCTGCATAGCGAGGAGTTTTGATGAATTACTATGATGATTGTTTTCAATTGTGCCAATCGGGCTTGCTTCAACGCCGTGTGTCATCTTCTGTTGTCTGTGCAAATATTTTCTCCCTGAATTCGCGCTGTTCAGCACGCCCCGTCGACATGGACTCCCGTCTGGGCCAAGAATCCTCACCCACCCCAAGGCTTTACCTAGCATATTCGACATGTCCGTGTACAGCGCGATGGACAAATACATCTAGTTGAGATAAGTCTTGCCTCCAGTCCCCCACCACGTTTGTGATGTCTTCTAAAACCGTTCCCCTACCAGAATCTCTCACACAATGCTCATCGATGCTCCTACGCCTGGCCCCCAACCCACCTCCGCAAAGCCAGTCTCGCGTCTTCAGGATCCCTTTCCCCCATGGTCGGCGGCGCATCCCCCGTCGTCCAATTCAGCGGCTCTGGGCCTAGCTCAAATTCCAACGTTCCGCCAGACCGAAACACTTGCCCCCAATCCACCCAGCTCTGGTTATGCGGCGCCCTGTTCAGCGTCACCCCGCGCACGTAAAAGGCGTCTTCGCCCCCGCCGGTACTTGTAATGCGGAGCTTCCTCGCCGCGCTGCCGCTGCCGCCGAGGTGGATGGTCAGGTCTGCGAACCAAGGCGATCCGATGAGGAACAGGGGCGTGCCCGTCATGGGATACAGGCCGATCATGTTCCAGAGGAGCCAGGACTCCATGGCGCCCGCGTCGCTGTTCCCCGGCAGCCCATCCGGCTTGGGGGCATAGTACGACTCGGCGACGTGCCTGCTCCGCCTGACTGCCAGGTCCTGGCGGCCCGCGTAGTGGTACAGGTAGGGCGTTGTGAAGCTCGGCTCATTGCCCGGGTTGAAGATGGTGTTTCCGAACGGCTTGTTGCCCGGGTACGCGCCCGGCTCAAAGGTCTTCTCGAGCCGCTGGACGAAGCGTTCGGGCCCGCCCATGTACTCGGCCACGGTGCGCAGGTCGTGGTGCGCGTTGAAGGAGTATTCCCACGGCAGCGCCTGGTAGTAGGCGTCGCGCCAGTAGCAGCCGCCGCACGAGAGGGGGTCCTGGGGCACGAAGCCGCTGGTGTTGCGGGGGCCGAGGAAGCCTGTGAAGTTGAGGGCCGTCATGTTGGTGTTCCAGTGGTTGCGCCAGTTGCGCGAGCGGTTGAAGTACGTGGCGAAGGTGTCCTTGCCGAGGCCGGCGGCTACGACGGCGAGGGAGAAGTCGTTCATCGAACTGGAAGATTTGTTAGAAAACGACGACGTTTACAAGAGGGGGGTTTGGTAGGATAACTACTATTCGACGGCTCGGCTGACGGATCGTCCAAACCTGGGCGTGATGTAGCCGAGTTGGCTGTAGTCAGGTAGTGCGCCTTTGCCCTCGGCCGTACTGCCGGTTGGATCTCTCGGGTCATGGTTGTTTGGGGGCATGGTGTTTGCGTTCTTGAGGAGTGCCTCGTACGCATCTTCCCAGTTGATGCCGCCGTTGGGCGATGCGCCAGCTACTCCCTTGACGTACGCGTCGGCAAGGACGTTGTCCGCATTGGTGCCGCCTTGCACGGCGCCATTGGAGAAGGATGAGCGGCCGTCTGGAAGCCACCCCGTGTGGCGATACGTATCAATCAGAGAGCGTATGAATTCCGCGTAGTACTCTTCCTGGAGAACGTGGAAGAGCGCCGTGGTACACCTGTGCTGTTGAACGTGTGAGCGAATCCACGAGACGGCAAAGACAACCGGGACAAAGAGCTCACAGTGTCCCAGAGGGTAAAGATGTCGTCGTAATACGGCTCGCTGCTGTTCCACCCGGGATTCTCACCCGTCTTTCTCGTCGGTAGCAGGTGCATGAAATACATGGCCGTATACAACTGCGTCAGCTTGGTGACGTTGGTGTCCGGGGTGGTTATCCTTCCCAAGACGTTGATGTTCCACTCGTCCCGTGTCTTATTCCGAATATCCCAGCCGTCTGATTCCTGGGAAATCTCTTCGTCGACATTACCGCACGCTTGGTCCGTGGAGATGAAGGACACGCCGACCCGGGAGACGACGTTGGTGTGGTTGAAAGTGAATAAGACGCCGAGACGGGCGGTGTCGGACTGGTATGATGCAGATTTGTTCGAAAACTCGACAAGATGGTCGGTAGTCTTGTCCTTTCCCAGAAACGTCTTGTATGTGAAAGGACGGTTGAAGTGGCCACAAAAGTAGACGGTCCAGGGAGCAGCTCTGTTCCAACCCTACGATGTGACGGGGTTAGTTACTTGGCGGAAGGATCCTTCACGGATACGTACGTTGTCGTAAGTTCCCCAACCAATGTATTTCAAGTCTGTGTTTCCTTTTTTGGTCGGGACTATGCTGATGTTTCCCGCGACAAAGTGCTGCTCCAGGCCTTGGCCTCTATACGACGACAAGACATGCGATACGTCGACGAGCACGTTCTTTGCCGCCGCTGTGTTGGGAAACTCGTACCGGTATAGACCGGCCTTTCTGGACGCATATAGCCCGACGACGGTGCCGGAGCCCAAAGTCGCTTTGTAGTATCCCACCTCGGTGAAGTCCTTCTCGGCGCGTGTATCATTCATGGCATCGCTCAAGGGATTCGTGACGGCCCCAACAACCGGCATCTGGGACACCACGCCGTATTTCGGCGCGCCGCCCGTGCCACTTTCATGGAGCATACTGAAACCCGTGAAGTTACCGGTGGGCTGGTATCCAGAGTATGAGTCGGTGCCGGTGTATAGATCCGGTCCGAGTTTCACCATGCCGAATGGCCACGAGACTCCTGGGAATGTGTTCCCGCCTCCGGTTGACCCGGTCTGGCATTTTAGTAGACGAAAGCCCTTGGATTGTATTCAGGATCAACTTACGTCTGTCAGGACATATTTTGCCAAGTCAGCTGCATCTGCGCCTGTAGTGACTGCACATAACAGCCACCAGATGGTGACCATACTGGATGAAGGCTGGCAACGCCGCATTACTGATTCCTCGAAATAAATGGAAGTGCTGCATTCAATATTTGGTCTTTTATTCTCGTACAGCTGAATTCTATTTGCAGGTACACTATTGGGCAAGAAGGGTGTTTGCAATCAAAATACATCTTTGCATCGTACGGAGTATGTCACGGCGCCATTCTACCGCGAAGCAAACCCCGCAATGTACGAACACAGAAAAGTAGTATTTACTATTTACTTCCTCGGACTAAAACTTGGGACATCCGACCATCCTTGGCCAATTCGTCATTTACCGGGATCTTAGTCCTTGATGCGGCCATCAGCACAAATGGTCAGCGCACGTGGGCGCCGGTAATGTCTGGTAGGAAGACAAGAAATAGAACTCGGAGACGCCAAGTTCCGAGAGAAAACAGCAAATTCGACCGTGTGTACACCACGTGAATAATCAGTTGCGTTGCAATGGGCTCCAAGGGCGGGGGTTACATCGATGTGATGGATGGGGATGCCTTGCAGGTGTGACGAACGAATTCATCCTGAGCGCAACTGGATCGGAGTTTTTGATTCATTTTTTGTCCTTGGGGCCCGATTTCATGGACATATTCAAACTAAACTGATTACCTTGGCAAAAAAAGTTGCTTGTCCGACCACTTTATTTTCTAAGACGAATGAGAATGAAGGACTGCGGAGTGTGATGTTGTGTCTGTGGAAAGCGATACTCGGACGACGCCGATGCCATTGCAAACCGAGCCAAACACTGCGCATCAGTTGAGGGTCAATTCCATACTGCGATATTTGCTCCGGCGACATGACAATATACAAGCCGTCTGTATATAGTTGATGGTGTCGGAGAAATGCCATCGACGGACGAATAACGAGATATCGATTAAAGATGTTTTTTCGCGTGCTAGGTACTCGGTACGCGCTCACTTGCGATAATACCGCGGCTTCTCTGGTACTGGTACCTACCGAAGCGGCGGGGAGAACTGCATAATCTTGGATGAGCTGGCCAATCAAAATACAAAATTCAACTCTGCAACTTGCCTCACTTCTAAAACACGACTTGAGCGAATGGCAACTCCTCGGACCACACTTTTCCAGCAAGTATCCCAGTGACGTGAGGGACGAGACATTCATCACATGGAAATCCCATAATGTGAGCTTATCGGGTGGCTGGCCGACACCTCTACCGGTTTAACGACTGCCGTGCCAGTTGCGAAGACACAGAAGAGTCTGGCTAATGAGAAAGGCTCTATTGAAGCGGCGCCCGATAAGCAGCGTAAAAGGAAATGGGCTCCCAAGGTAAAGACTGGTTGTACCACATGTAGGTACGTTCAAGTTGTAACCGCAGGACCATGTCCGACCAACATCATCCCACGATGTACCCATCCATCGCGTGGTCAATAACCTGCCCAACACTCTGATAGAAAGCGCCGTGTCAAGTGCGATGAACTCCAGCCCAGCTGCCGTGTATGTGTCTGGTGGAAGAAAATGCGAATGGTACTTGCGACCAGCCCAATTTCCGGAGCTACCCATATCATCTTTGGCCTCGCAGCCCTCCCATACAGTCTCGCCTCCCGGACTGCTCCTCCTGGCATTTCAATATATGTCAATGGCACTGAGGCAAGGCACTAGGAGAAATCAATTGCCAGATCCTGCCAAGTCGCATAGACCCTAACCGCTGTGTACTCATGGCGGTGTTTAGAGCTGTTTCTAAGTTATCCACACAGAAGATTCACCAAAAGATGATCCGCATACATGTAGCGACATGTGCGGTGGAAGTGAGAGATGTCTTAGTAGATGGGGGGCTTGGGAGTTGTCTAATAGCGCAAAAGACGATTTAGTTGTGTAGTTTAAAGATGTCACAATAACCTGCAACATGTAACAGAGCTTTAAGAGGTATGTACTGACGCTATAGCTCGTTACTATACACATGCATCGCAAATAAGACTTTTTATTTTTAAACAATCCCCCCGAGTGGCGGAAGAAAGTAGTAGTAAATAACCAGCCCTAACCCTAACCCTAACCTTAACCAACATGCCCAGTGCAATTCTGCGCATCTTGCGAATTGTACCCAATGCGCATTATAAAGACATGATTCAAATAGAAGACAGCTTATGAGAATTCTTTACATGTATAATAATAATTATTAGGTATCTTGATAAGTCCTCTGCTCTGCTAGTCCTCCAGGGAGTAACTTACAGGTGACGCCAACCCTCGACAATGGACCCACTTCCGACTGATCTTGACCCAAAATGTGGGCCTGACAGGAAGCAGGCGGTGTGAGAAAATTTGTCGGTCAACCAAGGCAGAATCCGTCCCGCCATCATCCATCACCATTATATCCCACTACTGAACGCGTTCAAATAGTTGCCAATCGACCCATCTGAGAGACATTTTGCCGGAGATACCGACTACCACGTACTAGGAAAGGCGTTTCCGCCGTGAAACTCGCATCCCGGAAGCGTGCGACGGTGGGAAACGCACCCAACAACCCGCAATGGGACGCAGACCGAACCCTCTGATCCTCGAGTACTTCGAGCGCGGGCCCAAGTTGAACGACAACAGCAATCGATACCCTCATACGTGCAAGCAATGCGGAGAGAACTTCCCCAAGGGTCGAATCGACAGTTTGACAACTCATATCACCAAACGATGCCCCGCCATTTCCGACTCGGAACGCATGCGAGCCTGTCTCGAACTCCACGGCATCACACAAGCGAGAACGGCTGCCGAGCGACACCAACAAGTCCAGGCGGCCCAGGCGGCCCAGGCTGCAGCTCAGGCTAATGGACAGCAGATATCTCCGAGTGCGCTGCCTCAGGGATGGAGTGCACTTGAGACTCTGGCAGAGGCTTCGCGTCAGGTAGACTTGAATGAGAACAGCCGCGGAAATAAACCCTCGACGGCGCAACCACAAGCAAATGGCGTCCAAAATGCGGAGCGATTCGAACTACAGGAACAGTATACTCTCGATAACCCACCTACCAACTATGAAACTACTCGGGCGCAGGCAACCGGGAAGAAGGGTGAGCTTCTACAGGCGGACCTATCGTGCCCAGCTTCAGGAAACACTAACATGTACCAGGCACAGCAGCTTTCCAAACACCTCCGCCCACCGCCACGGAACTATCACCAGAAGAGAGACTCCAGGCCCTTCTTCCAGCGAGCGAATCCTCTCCTGACGCGACTAACCTCTCTGTCGCGGTGGCCGCTGCTGCTCGTCTCAACCCGTCCTTCCTCGACCCTCAACTCGTCAATGGCGATGCGACCCCTACATCTCCATCTGTTGCGGATAGCGCCGGGGCAGCGGCGGCCGACAGCACTCCTACCACGGCCGTCGATACTACCGCTATTCAACCTTGGGGAGAAATGACCTACTTGACAGTTACATCGCCAGCTCCCATTCCTACAGACAACCCGCCAGTGGCGCCTCTCCCGCTGATTCGAGGCGGCGTTCGCATGGATACAAGTGCAGGCGTACTTAATGGAAGATCCCGTAACTTCAGATCAAAGTTCACCGCTGCCAGGCGTCAAGAAGTCAAAGAGGTTCGCAAGGTGGGGGCTTGTATTCGATGCCGTATTCTGCGCAAGATCTGCAGCAAAGGAACGCCGTGTGACACCTGCCGCAAAGTTCTTTCCCCTCGCGTTTGGATGACGGGTTGCGTTCGCTCACGCTTACACGAGCAATTGGATCTGTACTCTGCCGGAGTCCAAGTTGTCTTATCCCAAAACCGCATCAATATGCTCAAGGAGCAACTAAACCTGGTGAATAACGGCGCCGTAGTCGAAGTTTCCCACTTTGCAGAAACCAACAAAAACATTGTTCTAGCCGCGGCCGCGGCCGTAATAGAGCCCCTCCAGCAAGAAGGTGTCACGCCCGAGGCCCAGGAATCCCTCCACCAAGTCATCATGATTGATCAAGACAAAGACGACGTGCCCGGAAAAGTAGAAAGCTACATGCGCGACGTTCTAGACCTCTTCATCGAGCGCGAGCCGTCCAAGTTCATGCGCGTCACCCTCGAAACGGCCAAGTCGCAGCTCGCCATTAAGACGGACGAGCCGCTCAAAAAAGCCCTCGAGCTATGGGGGCTCGTGGAAAGCATCGACCGCGAGCGGCAATGGAGCATCGCCGAAAAGCCCAGCGCCGACTCCGAACACGGGCGTCCCATCAAGGAGGCGGAAAACGAAAGCGACGCAGACATCTACACCATGATATGCATGCAGCTCAACGCCGCGGCGGAGCGCAAGGCAAATAGCACTTCCAAGGCTCTGCTGAACCTCATGGACCGCCAGTTGGCAGACAGCAAAACCAAGGTCGGCTTCAACATTTACCTAGCGGCCTTGATATTCCTCAACTGCGTCGAGAAGTCGACGTGGGCGTTCAAGGCCTGGGAACAAGACCACCTGCGTCCCGGCTGGCCGCTCGAGCGCGACCCAAGCGTCTTCACCCAGCAGGGCGGCAACTTGGCCGGCCTGATCAAGATGCTCCTGGGGATACGCAAGGCGCTTCCGCAGACGTGCCGCGGCGCGGATGGCAAGCTGGCCACGCAGGACCAGGATGCTGTCGTGGTCAAGTTTTTCCAGGACCTGGACATGGAGTGTATGCATTCACCGCCTCCCCAACTTATTGGCCAACTATTCATTTCAGCTGACTTCTCTTTGTTCTTTGACAGATGACACTATTGAAGCTCGCCAGCGCGGCTCGCAGTTCTCCCCTGCAGACTCGCGCTCGCTCGAACTCATGTTCTGCTCGCACTTGCTGCTCCCTAATGCACCGGCGTAACCGGACGAGTTGTAGGCTTTGAAAATCGTATGTGAGATGCATAATGAATGGATGGATAATGTAGAGATACCTTTTTAATTTATTGGCGTTGGGGTGGTTTTCGGATCGGGGTAGACAAAACAAATGATGCGCGAGCCTTGCTTACTTGCTTCTCGTGGTGGCGAGCCATGTTTCAGCCCAAAAGGTAATATGGCTGGATGCCTAGGTAGGGAGCTACTTTATCAGACACTCTAAACGTGTATTAAACTGGAGAGAATACTTGTGATCAAAATGCCTTAAAAAAGTGACATTCATGCAAAGGCTAATAGTCAGTTTCAACACGCTACATCATCTTGTGCCATACACTCATGCCTGCTCCTTGCTCGACGCAGCTCCGGGGTCGACTTTTGGACCCGATCGCTTTTGCTTCTTGAAACATGCAAACTCGTTCTTACTCGCCTCCCTCAGCTTCTTAAGGATGCTCCTCATCTCGGGTAACTCGCTCTGCAACCTAGCACGGGCGTCATTATCCGTCCGCCCATCCAGCTCCTGATAAATTTGGCTCTGCAGCTCCGAGGCCTTATCAGTCGTATACTGGCTTAGCGTCTGGGCAACAAACTCTACGTCGAGGGTAGCCTGCATAAGAGCCTCGAGTGAGTAGCGGGGACGTTTGCGGAACGCGTCCAGTAGTTGGAGGGACGTTTGCTCGAGCAAGAATGACAATACTTGGGAGGTGAGTGAGGGTGCAGTGGTGGACACCTGGGAGTGCACGAGGACGAGGGCAAGGAGAGCTTCGTAGATGTAGGGTTTTGCGGTGGATGGGCGGGTATTCACTGGCGGTTCCCAGTCGGCGAGGGAAAGACCTGCAGATATGATGGCATGGAGGGTCTCGATGGATTGTTTGGTATATGATTGGAAGAGCCGGGCGTCGATCTGGCCGAGGACGTCGCGGATGGTTTTGGATTCGTCGGTGAGTTTGACGGAGAAGGCATTTTCAAATTGCGAATTGAGGCTGGGGACGACTTGGGAGCGGAGGGCTTGGAGATTACTAAGAGTTAGGAGCATGCGAATGTTCTGTTGTCTGTGGTCAACAAAAGGAGGCGATTTACAGCGGGTGTGTGGTATTAGACTTACTCGGTCACCAGCGTCCAAGATACTCTTGCTGGGGATAGAATTAGGCACATATGCCGGCGACGCGTCCTGCGAAACTTCCCACTCGTCGTCATTCTTCTTGAGCGCTCGTTCCGCATTCTCTACCATCCCACTCAGCGCCTTATACAACGTGGTGACGTATTGACTGCGAACCATCTGCAGTAGCTTTGTTGGCGGTGGTAGCACAATATTCCCTGCGCCAGGCTTCTCCATTGCTTCAGGGATGTACAGGATTTTCTGCATCCCAGACAACACAGCCCCCTCAAACGCGGCAAAGATTGCGGGCATGCGAGTGACATCGCCAGATTCCGCAGGACGCCGCCAATCCTCAACGTACTTGATATTTTCGGCATCACGATTCCATGCGGCGCAAAGAGCAGTGACGCAACGATCCCTGGACATACCAACAAGAGTCTTCAGAAGCTCAACAACCTGGCCGTCAGCAGAGGAGATAGGGCTGAGGCTGGCCATTTCAGCAGCAGCTGACCCAACCAGTGACAGCATTTTGGAGAGATACTCCACGCCACTGATGGAATTCGACCACGGCGGCCAGAACGCAAGCTTTTCCCACGATTCTCCCCTTCTGGGTGAGGGGGGTGGGGGGTTATTGGAGTCAAAATTGAATCGAGGGTCGCGCAGCGACGTTGGCGACAATGGGTTGTTGACGCCGCCCGCGGAAGCAGGGGACATCGGCGACAGAAGTGGAGGTGAGAACAATAGCGAAATATCTTCGGGTGGAATCTCGACAAAGAAGGCGTGAACGTGTTCCCGCAAAAGTTCAACCAATTCCACCATTCCCTTTTCCAAGTCACTTACAGCCTGCGGTGATAGCCGATGCTGGCTTCGAGATTCTCCATTGTATCCCACGGGGAGAGACTGTTGTGTTTTGCCACTGACGAAACCTTGAGCAGTCTGCCAGAACTCTACTACTTCTCCTAAAATGCCTTGGGACGAGATGAGACCAGCCAAAAAAGCAAGCATCTTGTCCCAGAGTTCAATGACGTCGGTAGAATCCGACGATGAAATCTTGCCTTCAATGGATTGACGACCTAGCGTCCGCAAGTACGAGGCCAAGATTTGAGGTGCCGGTTTCTCGTTGTTAGCGAGTCTGCGTCGTAGAACCTCGATTTCGACCTTGGACCGATCGGCTGACCCTTGGATCTTGCTTCGCAAGTGATCATGCCTGCTTAGAAGCCATACCCAGATCGGATTGTCTTCAACACCCAGCTCAAACAACAGTCCAATCAGCTCCATGTGCTGATCCTGCTGCCTACCACCCATGCTTTCTGATCTTGAGAAGTGTAGCGACACCAACTTCTTCCATATATCCTTCTTGAAGGCTTGTACCTGCTGATCCACGTCATTCCACATACGTCCTGCAAGAACCAACATGTATAATTGCTTGTCGCTTGGTGACTGCCCATTGAGATTCCTAGACAACTGTTTTGCTTCGTCGGCAAACTTTCTCGCCCGGTTATAGCTCTCTACCAGGGTGTCGTAGTCTTTGCGCTTAATACTGTCTGCCACAGTAGCACTCAATTCGACGAAATCCCTAAACTCATCCAAGTAGGTTGAGACATTGCGCAAATGTTTCTCCTTTTCGCGACCACCGAGCGCAGGACCCCAAACATCTTCGGCCTTGGCAGATACATCTAGGAGCGGCGCCTTGATACCCATGACACCGTATTCGCTTTCCTTGATCAGGGCATTTTTTTTCCGATTGTCTGATATGGGAAGAGCAAGAGGGTTATTGAGGCCCAGGGTGGCACCGCTAGCACTGCTGCGACCAAAGCTTGTGCGACTGGAATGGCGTGAGTGGCGGCCGGATTGCCGTTGCTGGACCGGGTCGATGCCGCGATACTTCATTTCCTTGTAGACATTGTCAATGGTTGCCTTGGCTTTCACGAAACGTTCAAAGTTGCTTTCGACAAGGACTTTGAGCGACGCCGACTTCTGATCGATCGATTGCGACAGAACATCGAGTCCTTGCAACAAGGTATTGGTATCGGCATTTGAGTGCATTTGAGAGATAAACAGGGCCGGGGAGAAGGTGGTGGATGAAAGCATAAATCGGTTTCCTAGCAGCTTATTAGCATTAGGGCTATATCTTCTTGTTAGGTTGGTAGCTACAAGCACGCACTGAGTCGGGCATCGTCTTGTACCGGCAGGCCCAGCTGCTTCAATGACCTCACAACGCTGTCCGAGGTGCCTAGGGGGTCTGCTTCATCCTTTTGTACTAGATTGCCTATTCCACCTTGTCCGCTTTCCCCAACGAAGCTTTTCCGCCCCCCAAAGGCCGACCCGAGGGCTTCGTAACGCGACTTTCGTCGGCCTTGCTTCGCGCCGTGGTCATCTTCCGCGGATTCCTCCCCGGCATCCTTTTCTGGGGGCCACATCTCGGGGTAAGAAGTGGGGAGCTGGTAGAATTCGAGTACTTTTCGTTCGTAATCAGCCATGATGGGCGTTTAGGAGACTGAAATGCTATTCGTAGGGCTGCGTGCTATCAATGGAATAGGTGACGTCGGCATGAAGGTGGCACAGGGGAGTCGAGAGCACGCACTCGGCTCAATGCCGTAGAGATTGCCTAGTCACCTGCAAGCTGTGAGCCCATGAATGGTGCACTGGGCAAACACGGTGTTTCTTCCGTAGTGACAGTAATTTCCTGATGAACAGACGGAGCACCGCGATGACGCTTGGCATGGTCCTGGGGAGCTGCTGTCTTGAACGGACGTGGCTAGCAGCTGCTGAAACACTCAGCCACAGAAGGCTACGGCCACGCGCCACAAATTATCGGCGGCTGGCTGCGGATCCATTCACCATCAGCCTCGTGCGGCTCACCTTGGTCGGCCACCTTCGGGCTCGGTGTGCTGCCACGCATTTCCGACGGCTCCGAGCCGCTGGGCCGACCAAAACAGCCGGCATAGCGAGAGAAAAAAAATGAAAAATGGATCGACGCCACAGGTTCCTTCCCCAAGCTTACCCATGCCGTGGCTGGTGTCTCCATCGTTGGATTCTCACCCGGCCTGCGATTTGTCAGTTCCTCAAGCAATTGGGGTGTATCTGGCATCAAGACCCGGTCCTTTGCGTCTGTTTCTGGTGCACAGGAGCCGCCGAGTGTGGCATGTTACATTGATCAGAGGCCTGTAGACGCTGGGCACCAGGGGCGGCGTCAGAGGCCGTTTTGAATTCACGCGATTCCCGTACTCTGTTGTGCCGGCAGAGTGGTTCGGCAGCAGAAACCTACGCGCAAGCCACACTTTGATCCGCTCTGTATCGACGGCTTCCCGAATTTGTCCACTCCCAAAACTTTGTACGGCTTGAAGAGTTCCGACTTTACTTTTATTCCCTCCATATCTGCTCTTGCACCAGCGTCGCTTTGCTGCTTGCGTTTTCTCTCGGGACTCTATCGCTCACATTATATCGCATCAAGATGCTGGCCATCCGAGCTATCTCTCGCCCTGCCGTCTCCAGGCAATGCCTGCGCGCTGCTCCCCGCGCTTCCTGGGCAGTTGCTGTACGGACATCCCGAAGCTTGCGTCTTGGATTTTTCTTACTGACGATTGACTGCGCAGCGTTGTTACTCGACTGCTGGCGAGCGTGTCGCCAAGTACGAGGGGACAAAGGATGCTCAGGTACGTGTGTTTGATTTTTGATTTCGATCTTTTTGGTCAATTGTGACGTGGTGCTTGTGGTGTCCCACGATGCCTGCAGGTCGGGTAAATTCACTCAGGAAAAGCCATTTGTCTCGTGACACCAAACAAAACACCCCAAGGCTAACATTGATTCCGCAGGGCAACTACCTGGTCAGCTTGATCGAGGGTGACGGCATTGGCCCCGAGATCGCCGTGTCCGTCAAGGACATCTTTGCCGCTGCCAAGGTTCGTCGCAACGACAGTCATTTTCGCCAACGCGCGACAGCCTTCAGTTGCTCGTTGCTAATACTCAGGCGCTTTATCCTAGACGCCCATTGCATGGGAATCTTGCGACGTCACCCCTATCCTAAAGGACGGCAAGACCGCTATCCCCGACGCTGCCATTGAGAACATTAAGAAGAACAAGATTGCTCTCAAGGGTCCTCTTGCTGTAAGTGGTTGCTTCTTTTCCTTCTAGCGACCAATTGATGGCAAAGTGAACAAGTCGGGACTGATAATTGGCTATAGACCCCCGTTGGCAAGGGCCACGTCTCTCTTAACCTCACCCTCCGCCGAACTTTCAACCTCTTTGCCAACCTGCGACCTTGCCGCTCCGTCGCCGGCTTCAAGACCCCATACGACAACGTTGACACCGTCCTGATCCGAGAGAACACCGAGGGTGAATACTCCGGCATTGAGCACGTCGTTGTTGACGGCGTTGTTCAGAGCATCAAGCTCATCACCCGCGAGGCTTCTGAGCGTGTCCTCCGATTCGCTTTCCAGCACGCCCAGTCCATTGGCCGCACCAAGGTCCGCGTCGTCCACAAGGCCACCATTATGAAGATGTCGGACGGTCTCTTCCTGAATGTTGGCAAGGAGGTTGCCAAGGACTTCCCCGGCATCGAGTTTGATGCTGAGCTCCTCGACAACACCTGCCTCAAGATGGTCACTGACCCTCTGCCCTACAACGACAAGGTCCTCGTCATGCCCAACCTGTACGGTGACATTTTGTCCGACATGTGCGCCGGCCTGATTGGCGGTCTGGGTCTCACTCCCTCCGGCAACATCGGTGACGAGTGCTCCATCTTCGAAGCTGTCCATGGTTCGGCTCCCGATATTGCCGGCAAGGCTCTGGCCAACCCTACCGCCCTCCTGCTCAGCTCCATCATGATGCTGCGACATATGGGTCTTACCGAGTACGCTGTTCGCATTGAGAAGGCCATCTTCGACACCCTCGCCGAGGGCAAGGCCCTGACTGGCGACTTGGGTGGCAAGGCCAAGACTCACGAATACGCTGCAGCCATTATTGAGAAGCTGTAAACGGATCATCTCCAGCCTTCCGACCCATGCCACAACAATTATACATTTTTAGATACCTATGACCTCGACATCGCATCATTCCACGGCCATGAACGAAGATCAATGCGTCTGTTTATTGGCCAACAACCATCAATAACCGATATCTACCGGCACCGTTACGTTTTGAAGAATTCAGGGCAGTGTTTATGTAGAGTGTACCAAGAAAGAGCCGGGCATCATGCGACAACGGCGCCATGAATTGATTTTTTTGAGTTAGAACAGTGCATTCCTACCGGATATGTGACCCTTTGTGGCGTAGACGTCGTTCCATCTGTCGATTCAGCGATTTTCACAATCGTACCTTGACTGTCGGCCAGGGTTCCTGAGAGGCGGTTAGCTATTAGTGATTGTAAGATGCATTTATATTAGTTGTCACGTAAATCACACGATTACGAGGCCACGACCGATAGGTGAGATGGGCGCCTTCAGCGGATTCTGGAGGACTTACCCAATGCCTCCTGATGTATATCGTTCAATCACCAAATTATGTGCCCCCGTAATGCGAATTTCGTAATCATCCCATTCCACGAAGAAGGCACCTGATTCGGGGTGTTGGTGGACGATAAAGACAGGGCTGACTGAGGGACCTTGTGACAACAGGGGACCGTCAGCGCAAAGGATCTCTCGGCCACGGGAGAAGAACGCATGACCACTTGTTGATGGCTGCGCGTATCCCAATTAAAACTCAGCGGAAGACGATCATCCTATCTTGCCATTTATACGTGTTTTTCCTCCACGGCCGACGGAGTATTGAATCCCCCTCGTCTCACCAGCAGGTCCAGCACCATATGGCCTACAGCTCATTTTCACACCTTTTCACCGGCCTTCAATTGATCAACATCATAAATTCAACGACACTCAGTGTTTTCATGATGGATTATTCAGGTTGATTGGGACTTGTGGTAATGCCAACATCGGGTGGCAGGTTCATCGAGAACCAAAGGCTGGCAGCTCATCTGGCTTGATATCGCATCCATTGTCAGCTCTTTGACATGGCGGAGCTCCAAAGTACAGGGACATCGGCGGATATGAAGAATAACATGGAGGGGGTTGAACCTTGTGTAGAGATACTGATAGAACATCCCTCACCTGTTCTTTTCACGGGAGTAATCCACTTTAAGCCTTGATAATGGCGCCCCAAGTCTTCGCTTTGTGTGCATCTTTCATGATGATATATGAACTTGTGAGCAGTTACCGCTCCCGGGGTTCGCCCATTCGCCTTTTCATTGGTACTGATACCATTCGACGTGAGAGTACAGGGTGGGCTCTTTACGCCCGTAGAGCTCCATATATGCCCACAGGTGATCTAGTCATCATCGCATTTGCTATCTGTACAAGAACACGAGCACTATCAATATAGCCGCCGATCTTATCGAAACGTAGGCGCTACCATGCTCTTAAAAGAAATATCTGAGTTATACCACGTCTTCAAAGACACATTGTTCTTCGCTCCTTTCAGCTCCATGAACCCAGACGCCAGCACATCAGAATCCAGCCACCACAACACAATTATCCATAAAAACTGGCCATATACTACTCAAAATTCTATAAACATGAAGCAAAGTAGTATAAACAAAGACAACATCGTATATACAAAACCCCCCCTCCATCCTATCAACCCACTCCGTCTTTCTACAAGTTAGCCTTAATCTTCTTCTGGTAATTGCCATTCCTAACCGCCAACTGGGCCTCCCACAACATGGCCCCCCCAAAGTTAGGCAAGTCCATAGCCTTGACCTGGTCGATGGCCCGATTGAGCGCCGCGGCATCGACGTAGCCCTCGTCGCCGTCGGCGCCGCTCGCCAGCGCGCCAATGTACAACTGTACGCCGCTCCCGATGCCCCTAGACCAGTTCTTAACGGCGGTGGCGAACCCGCTCTGGGCAATGTTGCAGTTGCCGTTGTTGTAGAACTGGACCTGCACCCAGTCGAGGAGCCGGCAGACGTCAAGGGGCTCGGATTGGTCGGGGTACGGGCACTGGGGGGCGGCGGTGATGTAGTATTTTTTAGATGTGTCCTTTTGGAAGTTGGCTTTGAACTGTTTGGTCATGGCGAGGTAGCCTGTCCCGTCGTTGGTTTCGTTATCTAGCGATTGTTAGTGTGCTGGTTGTGCTGGAGATGTGGCTCGGGGGGAAGGGGGGGTGTTGTACCCAAGTCGACGCCATCGAGCTTCACGTCGCCAAACGGACGGAGCTCCTTGTGGTCAGTACCGCCGAGGAATAAGTCCCAGACAGTGTTGGCAATCTGTTGCCCCTTAGTGTCCGAGGGCAGTTGGACGTCGGAGTAGTCCATGGCTCCGCCCATGCTGAGAATCACTGGCTTGCCCTTGCTTTGGCAGTTCTTGATGGACCTGACGAGGGAGCTGCCGTCCTGGAGACCGGTGGCGTTGGCTTTCTTCTGAGCCCGCGAGGGGCCGTCGAGGTTGCCGATACTCATCCTGGGGTAGCCTCCGGCGGAGAAGAAGTGGCTCAGAAAAGCCAAGTTGACAACATCGTAAGAAGAGTCGTTGCAAACGTCGTCCAGGGTGGTGGTGTCATCCTCAGCACCCCAGTAGACGGTGAGCTTGTGTCTTGAGGCATTCCTCTCAGCAGGGGCGGCTTGAGTGAGAGCAGCCAGGAGGCCAGTGACAACTAGGGCGTTTCTAACAAACATTTTGAGAATGGCAAGACGTTGTAAACCACCTGGGTTGATAGGGAGTGGTGATATGAACAGAAAGCGAATATATACAGGGACTGCCGGGAAGATGACCAGATCTTCTTTGTGTACAAACTTGGACTCAAGAAAAACCGCGAGGAGCATGGGGGCTTCTGCTCTATTTATCCCGGGACGGGTCCATATTGAGATATTGCTGGAGTTGATGAATCAGGCAAAGCATGCTTCCCGAATAAGCAAGTTGCGAGTCTGCGGCCATATTAAAACCCTCCAACAAGACAGCGCATCTTTCAACTCCCCACGCAGCTTGCTGTGGGGGGTCTATGGGATAGAATCCGGAAGGTCATATTGTCATGTGTATGCAGTGCTGGACTCCGGCGCGGTCGTTAGCTCCCAATCATGTCAGGGAGGGTGGTATTTTCTGCCCATGGTGATTTTTAACCACCACTCAATGCATCGTGGGGTTCTCTCCTGCCGCCCCTGCCGAAGTACTCCGAACTTCTGTTCAAAATGGAGACACCGAAGCTCAAGTGTGCCGACAACGTTACATGGAACGTAAATAGGTGAGTCGTGCAGTGGTTGACCTAGCTATGTAGAACCTGGCCAGGCGAAAGCAGCATCATTTGGTGTACGGACGAGTGGCGATCTCGTATGAGAGAATGCTACCTGTGAAAGGAGTGGAAGGGCTGTGATGCGCGTCAATTCAATGTCACAGCTGCTGCCAGTCGAGTCGAATCCCCAAGAACGGTGCCCCCACAAGCTGAAAGGGTGCCGAATGCTGGGTTATTCGCTGTTTGGGCGGTTAGTAGACCGAAACCCTATAGTACGACGATATTAAGTTGATACCAAGTCGGAACAGGGCCGGCTTGGCCGATATGGCGACGGGCCATTATCAGCCAGCATTGGCGCGGCTTGTACATATGAGTATGCAAGGGGAAAACACCAGTCCAGGAACAACCACATGTCTCGGCAACGAAAGTCGTCAACAGAAATTGTGGGGATAAAAGATGCGGGAGGGTTTCTAGTAAGCCCGTTGAAAGAGCTGAGCGCGGCCGAGGTCAAGCCGTGCGGAGACAAGCTCTTGACTTCAATGTTGGTTGAAACGTGGCGAACCCCTGTCCAATTTGTGGGATTAATTCTTCCGGGGCTGGGAAACGGGAGGATTCTGAGCGAAAGAGGCACGTAGCATCGTCTTCGAAGTTCGGACTCGACTTGAACGTCGTTGGTGGGTTTCATGATCTGAAGGGAACAATGGACCAAACCATGGCATGAATATTCCGGCCAGCCGAGAGGAGAGAGAAACCAGTGCATTGAGGTGCTTCATCGAAAACTGAGTGTCAAACAAGAGTTGACGGTGACCATTTTCCTATTCCCAGCATTATAGTCTTCAGTGGCCAGCCGATTCGCAAGTCGACGGGATGCCAGCGGTCGCCATGGCATCATTTCCAATCGCCTATAAATATCACAACTTTCATGAGCGCCACCTGTCGAGAAGAGCCGACCGTCAGCTGAGAGGGTCGCCATGATTTCGGTCCATCCGCCACCAGCGAGGCATTCGTCTACGGTATAAGTCTGTCTGTATTTACGAACCATCTAAATCTAAACTATCGGGAAGGTAGTTTGGTCCAGCAATCCTTCGTGGGCTGCATCTACACCCATTATAGGCTGCACTTAATGTCCTTTTGGGGGTAATCTGCTGCTGAGGAAAGCCTCGACGTCGCCAAGCTCTTCCGCGCAGGCTTGATGCTCCATTCCCCTGAGTGATTTGTTAGTCGCATGCGCTCTGTCTTAAAAATCTCGAGTCGCCTGGTCAAGAGCATGCATACCTGTACGTCTTGAAAGTAACGCTGTAGCCCATCGAGCTCAGGGCCTTTTCGCTGTCTTTGGCGAGGTCGTAGAGCACAAGGGGATCACGGTCACCATGGCCCATGAAAATGGGGGTGTCCTTGTTGATATTGCCGTCAGGGACATAGTCCTTGAACTTCTGGTTGAGGAGAAGCCACGACGAGAGACCGACGATGCCGCCAATCTTGACTGGGGCCGTCAGACCGGCGAATATGCTCATGGCACCACCCTGGGAGAAGCCGCCGAGGACAATACGGTCGGCAGGAATGCCGTCCTTGATCTCCTGCTGAATGAGGCCATGCAGATAGTCGCGGGATTGGAGAACGCCGGGGCCATCCTCATCTGCACCCTTGACGAGAGTTTTCTGTCATTGTCCGCCGTTAGAAGGCGTTTCCCTTCATTTTGAATCGTATAAATACAACTTACAATGTCGAACCATCCTGGCATCGGCATGCCACCATTCTAACGTGCCGCCGGATGTGTCAGCAAAGAGGTCCCTGGCCGCCCCGAGGCTCATCGGTCCACATGTCCGGATAGGATATGGCTAACCATGGTAATAGGAATATGCGGCGCGTGCGGCAAAATGAACTTGATCTCATTCATCGACTGGCGTGTCCTCCAAAAGCCCACAGCATCGGCCCAGCCGTGGCCAGTGTCGCCCAGGCCATGGATGAAGACGACGGTGGCAGTATGGCGACCTGCGGCAGGGATGACCAGCGGAGCGACCCTGCGAAGTGACGAAGCCGATGATGCGGCGCTCATGGTGGCGGTATCGGATGCGATGTCTGATGAGGAGGCGGAGCGGGAGGAGAGAAATGTCGCGTCTTTTGCTGTACCCCGAGGTCCGTTTGGCGCAGACTCAACGCGGGCTGACGAGGATGTGAGATTGAGGAGCAGCGGGACGAGATATACAATCGCAGGTAAGAGAAGACTGAGCGCGAATGCGTGCCTGAGATTGAACATGAGATGGCGAGCCGCAAAAGATGAAGACCGGCTCTGCGATGGAGGGGTGAAGCGGCTGTGGACCTGAAGGAACCTCCATGTCGAGGTCTGTGTGGGTCAATCGCAGCTGCTAATTACGAGGTATAGTAAACTTACTTAATAATAATAATTTTTATAAGGCTATTTTTATTATTATTTAATAATTATTACAAGGCCTTATAGCGCGGCCGTAATAGTAATATAGTTTCTAGGCTTATGTTATGGTCTGGGGCTTTGCCCTGACCTAGCTAGCGACTGGCGAGCCTGTATAGTGCTATATTGAACAAGTCGAAAGGGACCAGTTGACTTGTTCAATACGTACTTGACCCTTTTGGCTCCACGATCAAAGGTCTGGGCAACCCCCAGGACGGCTGCGGCTAGCACCCGCGATGGCTCAATAGGGCTAGTCTGTTACAAGTTCTTTTGTGACCCTTAATTGTCTGACATAGCTTGATATAATTTGTCCTGATATGTCGTTATTAATGCTCGATATTCGCAAATAACAAAAAATTACCCGTTGGCAACTACCAGACCTGTTGGTCAAGGTGTGGGGCCCACCAGACAGCAGCCCAACTAAAGGCCCCTTCAGTTGGCGCAAAAAATGCCTAGCAAACAGCCTTCAATACGCGATTTCTCACGCAATGCGGTCAAACATGGTAATCTTTTGGGTTTTTACATAATGATCTTCAGCGAAAAAACACCACAGGCTGCACGAGCCGTCCTCACATCACGTAATCCCCCTAGGGCTGATCTTCGTCGCACCGCAACACCACAAAGAAACCCCCTTTCCATACGAGACGCGACCTCTGCGTATAGAGTGAGTAAGGCTGCAGTACAGAGAGCCGTTGATTTCCTAGGAAACCCCCTTCTACGGGGGCGATGACGCCTTAGTGGCGTACGTGCAATGGATGGAACGCACAGGCATGCCAGCTACAAGAGAACAACTTAAAAGCGCGGCAAATACGATTAGATTACGTCGGAATCCTAATGCCAGTGGTGTATCACTCATTAGCTTACTAGCTAGCAGAGGAACCATCCAGAGATCACGCAAACATACCTTAAGGCCGTGGAGCGATCACGGAAAACCTTCCAGACCTAGGGACTTAAAGACATCAAATTGTTCTATTCTCAACTCTAGGCAACTATCAAAGTTCTGTATCGGCGCCTCAGAGATGTGGAATGAAGACGAGGCCGGAATACATATTAGTTGCTTACGGGAACGCGTCCAAGTCCTTGTTACTTGCACCTCTAGGCTTAGGCTGCCCGACCGGAAGTTCTAGACCCAGCCAATCGGGAATCCTGCACAGTAATTGCCTCGATAAATGCAATGGGAGACTCTCTTCCTCCATGGCTAGTTTTCGCTCATTATCCGACGACGGACTGGGCTGGCATTGGCATCGGGACACGCGTGCGATTTGCCCCGTCACCCACTGGCTTCTCAAATGCTGAGATACACCTTGAGAGGGCGAGACATTTCAATCGCTGGTCTTGGGCATCGTCAGCACAGGCAAAGCAGTCTGGAAAGTATCTCGAACAGTGGTTTAGATGTGGCGAGCATATCCGGCTCCCGGACCGAGGCATGAGTAGCGTGGAGATTGAGAAGCCTCTAGTTGATCGTCCTGATGAGAAGATATTATATAGATTACTGGTTGTGGATGGCTTCACAGGACATACCACTCTTGCCTTTGCCGAGTACTGTATCAAGTTCAACATCATCATCGCCATCTTGCCGCCGCATTCCACCCATCTCATGCAACCACTTGACGTTGGTGTGTCCCAGCCACTGAAGACAGCCCACCAGAAAGCACTTCGCAAATCCCTTGCAGAGGGCAACCTAACCTTTTCACGGATCGACTTCCTCGCTGAATTTCAACAAGTCTATGAGGCTGGCTTCACGAGCCATAACATCATGTCGGGATTCGAGGAAACTGGACTATGGCCCGCCGTAATCCGTAATGGCCGCGGTGGAACAGTACATGTGAACCACATGCTATCTCGGCTTTTTCTGGCTGAGCCTACAATCCTGCGTAGGAGCAATTTCCGGCTCAGAGCATGTCGCCGGTGCTCTGATGTCGGTAGCTTGTGACACCCTTTGGTTGTTGCACAGCCTAGTCAGAATGCGGGCAGAGGAACGCGCCAAATAAATGCGAGCCTTCACCGTGACCGCTCTCAATTCGAGCTTGGCGAGCTACAGTCACATTATTGATGCATCACAATCGTCGCGAGGCAACAAGCGTCGACAAGTCCGTGGCGAGGCGGCAAGCCAGGTCCAAGCGTCAGCCGAGAGCTGCATCATCATCCCAGGAATGCAATCGGCGTACACCTTGACTATCATGATGGCCCACGATAAGAAATCATGGTTTGAAAGACAGAAGTACCATGGCAAAGAGGAGGAGGGTAAGTGGCAGCCATGAGTTAGGGACAGGAAGTTGGCAGAACAGAACACCTCATTGTCGTAATGCTTCACAACCCAGGCATTCTCTAAAATTATAATGATAAGGGCCAATGCTATGATAACCCCGTGTGTTCTGCAACGTGTCGTCGTACACGTCATCGTGTATGTTGCTGCAAATACTGCCGGGATCAATCTGGGACATGATTATTAGAAGTCCCGATATTGCATGAATCTCATTTGTTGGTTTCTAAAGTGGCCAAGAACCCATGGCTTGGATGGTGGATGGCAAAGTCCTTTGTACTGGCATGACTATGATGCTTATGAGTTAAGACCCAGAAACCGTCAAGTCTGGTGTTATGAGATGCACGGCTCACATGGCAATTCCCAGCAACCACAGCCTCACATCGGCCGACCAAGCTCTAGCTGCCGAGGATAGGACGTTGGGCACTTGGAGGGGATGACCTCTGAGCAGGAGAGTCGGTTCACGGAAATAAGGCTTGTGGGTGCAGGGTAAGAATGCATTATACGGCTTCAAGTAAGTAGAAAAACACTACGGTTTGTAGGTCATGTAATGTCAAGGCGCTTTAAGGGTGATCCCTCCGGGTGTAAATAAATTATATTACATTGTCAAGCATTAATTTGTTTGCTTAGTCGAATAACGCTCTCGCTATCTAAAGCGGTGGGGGCTTTGCTATCTGAATTACTTCATGTGGGGAGTGGCACGATGAGTCGAGATAGGAGTGGGCGAGGTCGTTTCAGAAGATAAGATGGCTTACTCGTAAACCAAGCGTACATAAAGCCACATGCAGTTTTCAAAGTGGCAAGGTGTCAACTGGAGAAAGGTGAGACAAAATACTTACTCGAGGTCGACTGTGCTCCACAACCAAGTTACAACAAAATACTAGTCTTATTAGTGCTTAGCCTTTTTCGTTATTTCGACATGTAACGGTTTAATAATAGGCGAGAGCGCAGCTGAACTATTCTCGGGCTTAGCCTGTTACACACTAATTAACTAATTACAATGCTCTAAGCCTCCACTTATACCAGAAGGAATATGGCATCTTTACAAGCGAAGGTTTAAGTTTTATATCTGCGACCAACCAGAGCATGATAATTGATAACTAGGGTCAAGGGCGACGGGCCTGCACATGATGCATGAGTCCACTAGTCTCTTATATAGGTATTTATGCAATAGTTAAGTGTGGCCCAAACCAAGGAAAGTAAAATCAAATAGTATAAAATATAATGCAAGAATATTAAATAGGGGCGAGATTTATGCGTCAAGTACATTTGCCGCAATTATTCCAGGAGGAGGAGACGTAATGATCAAATCTCAAAGAAAGTCCTGTATATATATGGAAATATATATATCGATAATAGTCCTCTTCAAGTTGTATCTAGACCCTTCAACACTCGCATTCCAATACACTCTTTCAGCACAAAATCTTCAATCCTCAAGTTGACCTTTGCTACAAGCTTCTCTTATTCTATTACATCACTATGAAGTTTACTACTGTCTTTGGATTCTTCTCCATCGCGGCTGCGGCTGCTATTCCCGAGGATGGCAGTGGCGCCGCCAGTCCAGCACCGTCCGGGCCAGCACCGTCCGAGACAGCACTGTCCGTGCCGGCACCGCCCAAGACAGCACTGTCCGTGCCAGCATCGTCCGAGACAGCACTGTCCGTGCCGGCATCGTCCGAGACAGCACTGTCCGTGCCGGCACCGTCCGTGCCAGCAACGTCCGAGACAGCACCGTCCGAGACAGCACCGTCCGGGCCAGCACCGTCCGGGCCAGCAACGTCCGAGCCAGCCCCATCGGCTGCATGTGAGCCGTTGCTGCCTTGGGTAGCGGCGACCGCGAATAGTCCCTTCTGCAAGTCATACAGGGGCAGCGAGGCGATGTGTGGAACCAAGGCATTTTGCGAGTCCTACGGCTCGGAGGAGACTCGACCGGATTCCAAGTACGATTCTGTCGCGAAGTGCCTTGCTCGTCATGAACCCGAGCCTGTACGGGCCGGCTGCAAGAAGAGCAAGGCCAGTTCGCCACGCCCTGCGTTGAACGGAAATCGCCCTGTTACACAAGGGCTACAGGATTAAGGCAGAAGGCCCTCACAGACTTCTTGTATTTAAAGACGTCTTTGGCGACCGAGGCTTCGAAGAAAATCAAGGACCTTTGATAGAGAAGACTGTTATTAGCTGAATTGACCCAAATTGCTTCAAGCCCTCTATTGAGCCCTTGTCACATTGACCCTGTAGTCGAAACCTATAGCATCGAAGCAAACTTGCTAGCCATCAATGTTCGATCAGGACTCAAAGCTGGCCAGAAATTTGCCTCTTTTGTAAAAGTTACTCCAAGAGACGTAGTCAAGCTGTGTCGAGATCACGTCCCTTATTTAAGGCAATATTATACTGCTGCCTGTCAAGTAGTTGTGTTACAGCAAGTATTTTGCTTTCGCATTGTTCTATTCTTATATAGAAAATTAAGACTCTTTTATTAAAAGGTAAAGTGTCGTAAATAGTGCGTGACCTTTAATAAGCCACCCGAAACAACATGTTAATACTCTACTTGTGTACTTGACGACTAATCCATAAGCACCTAGGCGCCGTGCTAATCGCAACATTGAAACAAATACGCAATTAGTGCCTTTGCCAACCCTGTCAAGTTTGACATGGCAAGGAGGGCTGCTATTCTTACGGCCACGCAAGCGTTCAGGGCGATGAGAAACTTTACCAGCCCTTGCTGAGTTCCATCCCCATCATCAAGCAGCATCTGTAATAACATCTGTTGGGAGGACTTCACCTTGGTCAGCACGTCACCCGCCCATCCAAGAATGTCTCCCGAAAAGAACTTTCTGACACGCTGCCTGGGGCGTACGGCACCCCCCGAGGCCCCTGTGCGCCGCCACTATTTCAAGCGCGAAAAACTACCACCTACGATATTGTCTACCCATAGACAAAAACTTTATTAAAATCGCTGAGTTGTTGCTCCAAGACCGCAGTGCTGACCCCACAGTCTTCGGAGGAACCAGACACGCCACTCGCCTCTGCAGGCGGCTTCGGTGTTTGGCGATCCGACCATGGTTGAAATGTTGTTGCATGTTACACGGAAATGGCTGGTTACACAAGGGCTACGGTCACGAGACCTAGGGCAAAGTCCCTCACCGACTTCTTGTATAAATAGACGGCTTTGGTCCCTCAAGGCCTTGAGGAAAACCAAGGACCTTTGATACCAAAGACTGTTATTAGTTGAATTGAGCTAAATTGCTCCAAGCCCTCTTTCCGAGCCCTTGTCACATTGCATGACAAGGCGGATCCAAATGATGGTGGAACCCAAGGGGGGCCTTTGATGGTTGCCCTCCGCGGAGGTCATGAAGGCATTGTCATCAAACTGCTTGAATTCGGCGCAAATCCGGACCTGCCACGGCCCTTGATGAGGGGTTTCGGGACTAAAGTGAAAGCCCTATTCTAGCGCGAGCATCGATCCCAGCCTGGTTGGGCGCAGTGTCACGGTCAATTTGAAGGGACATGGACCGTTTCGCTTCGAGTTTACTATCGCAAACGCCTCTCGTCTAATGGCGGGACTGGTAAAGAAGAACGAGACCTGCGAGGATGAGGTGGGAGCGAGAATAGTGACTCGAATTGGGATTTGTATCCCAAGTATACTAGTAAATAACCTTTAGCCTCTTTCAAGGGGCGTGTTGGGGCAGGCGTGGGCGTGGAAAGGAAATGGCAGCATTGATGGTTTTATTTTTACCGAGTAAAATTCTAGCCACAACTAGCAGCAGCAATGGAAGGGTCCGGTCGAGTGTAACGACCAGGGTAGTAGTAGTTGGAGTTTTCGGACGTAGTGCGGTAATATTTTAGAGTCTCATCGGCACTTCTTATTGGCCACATGCGGGCGGCGTTTCGACGGGAGAAGGTCCGGGCGAGAAGCGGGGGGGAAGGAGCTGAGGCGTCCCACCAACTGGCCCCAGTGCCACTTGACCAGACACATTCAAGTCTAGTCTGGTCTGGTTCAAGTAAATAAATGTTGAGAAGGGACTGATGATCAATTTCCAACTTTCGCAGCTGTCTGTGCAGCTCTTTATAAAGGGGCTGTACTCTTGCATGCGCTAGCCGGGTGAGGGTTGTAGGGAGTCACGTCATCTAGCATTACTCGGCCAACCCAACCGAGATTGTAGCCATGCGCCCTTAAAAGCCACAAGACAGCTACGATAGCCGAAAAATCTGTGACCCGGTTATTAGGAACAATATTATAATATACTAGTACATATATATTTTAGTAAGGCGATAAGCGCACCTAACAAAAAGACGCCGAGCAATTCACCACTTGGAAAGAGGTATTTGACATGTTCTAATCCCCACTATAGGCCAGTGCTAATTGTATCTTTGGAAATTGACTTTTCCCTAAAATAGCGTCCGCGTTCTGACTCACACCCTACAAATGGAGTATGTGAGGTCTGGTACATATATACATATAACAATAAAATCCCACTATAGCCGCCAGCTGTCCTATAATCCTCCCCCAAACACGACATTTACAACCTTGAGCGAAATTCACCCTATTTGATAGCCTGCGAGTGCACGGAGTAAATATGGATAAAGAGGCTCCGATGAACGAGACTTTGCGAGCAATTTCCAAGTAGGTTGGTTCATCAAGCTGGAGAAATCGACTCTTTGCTAAACCTGTCGGTCTCTAGGGCTCGCCAAGAGGGAAAGTATTCAGATCTCCTCCTCGCCTGTGAAGACGAGAAGATGCCCGTCCACAAGATAATCGTGTGCCCCCAATCTCCCGTTATCGACAAGGCATGCAACGGCCCATTCAAGGTTAGTCAAGTCAAGTCAAGTTGTGGTAAATTTGTCATTCCACCTGTTCTTCTTCTTCTCACAAGAAAATCAGGAGCGAGAAACAGGGATTTACGAGATCAAAGATGCTTCCATCGACACAGTTCGGTCCATGATCGACTACATGTACACGCGCCAGTATTCACCAACGACGCAACCAGACTCGGTTGAACCATCCGGCGCTAGTTACCCCATTGTCTTTCATGCAAGAATGTTTGAGCTTGCAGACAAGTACATGGTTGTCGGGCTTCAAACGTTGGCTGCGTCCGAGTTCAACAAGGCGATCGAGCAAGAGACGGATGTCTGCAAGTTTCTGCGATCAGTACCCGAGATATACTCCCTGGCTAGCACGGCAAGCGATAAGCTCCGAGAAGCTGTAGTTTGGGAGTTTCGATGCTGGATAGCATGCCAAGAATTCGACGCTACCGTCAAGGAGGTTTTGCGTGAAGTAATTGGAAAAGTGCCCCAGTTTACTGAGGAGCTTTTGGACTCATTTCTAGACAGCACGCTTCTAGATGAATGCTCCTGTAGCGAAGGCCGCACGAAGCGAATTCGGAGAGCACTCGATATGCCTAAATGCGACGTTTGCGGGCACTACTGTCCTCGCGTCCGGGTCAACGCATCATGATGTTTCCAGAGAGAAGTAAGCGGTCCTGATTTTGGCTACCTTGGCAAGGTCCAAGGTCTTGTCCTCAAAGGCATACTGGGTTTGCGCTCGATATGGTTGCTAAGAGGTCCATATATCTGTGACACCTCCCTCGACTATTGTGTAACTTTTGTGGCCGATGCCTTTGTTCTGGTCCCTTTGCCATGTGACAATATCGCCTTATTTCATGGGATGGAAGAGGACACATAGAGAGAGCGAGTTCAACTTCATTTACATAAACGTAAACACAGCATGCAACCTGTTTCTTCCGTGCGTGTTTCTGTTGAGTTATCAACAGCAATTTAGGACAGTGGAAAGTTACACATATAAGGTTCTAATTGATGATATTCTTGATATCGGAAAGTCTAAGATTAGAGACCTCGAAAACCGGGGAAATTGGCCCCCTGACAAAACACCTGAGGAGCCCTGCGATGACCCTCATCCCAGCCCTAACCTGGAACCCTAGAAAAAACAAATATTACCAGTTGACGACTCTCGGACCTCCCGAACTCCTCCAACCTTCAATTTTAGCCTGTTTGACTCAACAGTCTCGCGATACTTCCAAAACTTGTTGATAAACCCCCAGCGGCTGGCTCACTATGTCGGCTGCACATCTTCAAACAAAAGGTCCCAATGCGCCACGTCCAATTCCGGCGCTATTGCAATAAAGTCCTTCCAGAGCTGATCCCAATCCGTCTGATCCTCGTTCAAATCATCCAGAAAGCCATTGTTCCTATCCGTGCTGCCTACAAAATTCGCCAGCGTATCATCATCAGCATCCGCCATGGCCGCGTCCCTCAATTGCTCCATACCGGACGCCGTGTACAAAGATGCAGAAGGTTCATGTCGACTTGTGCTCTGAGACCGTTGTTTCTGCAGCGTCGATACGAGAACTTGCACATTGCGCTGGACACCCTCCATGATGGATTCGGAATCTTCCATTGACTTCTCCAGCAGCTCGCACGTAGCAAGTACTTTGGCTTTCCTCTGCTCTGCATCTCGTGCTAGCGGGTTGAAAGACACATCTGTGGCGAGAATGAGCGCAGCGATGGAAACGTGCTGCATTACAACCCAGGAACGAGCCGGATTCATCCCCAGCGGGGAGCCACATTCGTCCATCGCACGACGCAGATCAAGCACTTTTTGCGCTTCCTGGATGCAAGCTTTGTGGGAAAATGCATATGTCGAGTTTGTGAGGCCTTCCAGATGGTACGGTCTATGAAGACGGCATAGTCGTATGCGTATGCTGAAGTTGACGCCAACTCGCTGCAGTGCAATGATTGGGCGCTCTCTGCAAATATCCTTGGACCGTTCTATACTTTCGGGGTCCAACCGAAAGTAAACTGGGAGCTCCTCTAGAAAGGTACGAAACTTGTTGTCCATTTGTAAAATCGTGTTGTAGCTTCTTTCATCAGCGTCATGAAATTGTGACGGTAGAGCGTCCACAACTTCTCGGCAAATTTGAGATATCTTGACACGGTGAATAAATCCGCTCATACCCGAAGGTTTGGTAAGGGGAATATCCTTCTCCACCATGTCCGCCGTAACATCCTTGTCGTCCACGTTTGCCGGAAGCCGGACGTTCATGTGTTTGGGTTGGAGAAAGTAGGCGCCGTCGTTTGGCCCGCCTGAAAACGAGTTCAGCCTGAGAGAGGATTCAATATTAGTTTCTTTCTCAGTAAAGAATTAAATGAGATGTACCAATCGCTGCCCACTAAACTCCACCAAATCCTTCTCTGGACTTCCACCTCAATCATGTTGCACCCCTTTTGTCTGCGTTCTTCTCGACTCTTTGCCGTATCAAGACGATCGATTTGCAAGGTGCGAGCCATGCTGTAACACTTCATGCGCAACGCCACATCGTTGTCTGATAGTCCTCGAGCATGCGTAATCACATTGTGTAGGTTGCACATGGCTGCCAGGGCGTTGGTGGATGGAATGATTGGTCGCACGGTGTTGTCAATAATAGACACGCCTACCCTGAGATATTCGAAAAAGGCAGCCTTTGCTTCCGCACGTGTCGCGTGGAGGCTCTGAAGAAGTTCTGAGGACCAATGAAATGCAGCCGCTGCAAAAATGCCGAACAGCAACAGCAAATTTTCGACTGGAGGCATCCCTCCCGTGCATATGCTCTCATAAGTTTGCTCCAGCAAGGTACGGCATGATGGGATATGTAGAATACAACTATTCGGGTGGGAGGTTTTCGCAAAGTGTTCAAGCAGGAGCCTTGCTTGAGCTTGTGGAGGCAGCTTGCTGGCCAAATTTTCCATGTAGACCCTTTGTTCCTCGGCTTCGTCTGGCTTCGGGATCATCAGATGGATTCCGAATGCGGTGAATCCTAAAATATTGAATTAGACTTGTTGTTCAGTCAAAAGAATAGGAGAATCACCATCTCACTTATTGACGGAACTCTTGGAATTGATTTATCCACCTGCGGCGGCTCTAGTGACTGACGAGGCTGGTTGAAAACTGCCTCCTCCAGCCTCTGCAAGCGGCGCAAAACATCGTCAGAATGCCTAAAGCCAGCAGGTTAACGGATGTCCATGGCCCTTTCGGGCGGATTGGTGGATACAAATTGCCATACTTGACGTCTGTATGATTTGTTGCAGAGTTGGCATAAGCGACACGAGAGCATGCCTCTTGTGGCTGCTGTCCCAATGTTGGGCGAGCTTGGTCATCGCAAGCATACTGACAATCAATGTTTCGTAGCGTACAGCTTGAGCATGGTCGCTGCCTGTCGCAACGGCGCTTCTTGGCCCGACACGGCCGACATGAAAGAGGCGACCGGCCCCACCGATGCATCATTTCGCGTCTTTGATGCCCGACTTCGTCTAATGATGATGCGGCTTGGTGGTTGCTAGTGGAAGATGCGTGAGCAAGGTTGGTGGGAGAGGGCCGCGGAGAGATACCGCGGCGAGGCATGCCTTATATCGTTAGCGCCGTTTGATTGGCTTCTTACTTCACCGCGGACGGCTAACTGCATTGAGAAATATCTGCCGCGGGGAATTACGGTCGTGGTGGTAAGCTTCAGTAATTGACCACGATGGCTGACCGTGGCTGGCGGTCTTTCCCGAATGACGACATACGAGAGAGTATTTAAAGGTGAAGACCCTCAATCAAAACGGTTCTTACCACCAACAAACATTCTGAAGAACAGCAAAACACCCTACCGACTACAAGGCAAAATGAGAAAAGTATGCGTGTTCTCTCCCCATCTGTGTACCAAAGACTGACATGGGCTAGGCAATTATAATTGGAGGTGGACCAGCTGGTCTATCCGCTGCTTTGCGGTTGCAACAAATCACAGATGTCACCTCGACCGTGTACGAATTACGTCCTGAGCCCACCACTCTCGGGGGAGCTGTCGGGCTATTACCCAACGGCCTCCGCTTATTTCACAGACTTGGTGTATACGATGATCTCTTAGCACGCGGTAGCAGTCATTCAATGGTAAATCTACGATCTCTAAAAGGTGATATCATCACCACGCAGGACATTGTCGGCAGAGTTCGTGAGCAGAACGGGGGAATTGGCTACCTGCGTATCAAGCGCATTGATCTTCTTCAAGTCCTGCTCAAAGCTGCAGAAAAGGCAAATATCCCAATACACTACGGGAAAAAGATTATTGAGATTGAAGAGAGCGAGCACGAGGTCAAGGTCACGTTCTCAGATGGAACCACAGACACGGGCGACCTCCTACTCGGATGCGATGGAATCCACTCCGCTGTTCGAAAACTATACGTCGACCCCAAGCATGCCATCGAATACACTGGATTTTCCGGTTTGTTTGCGCTGCTTCCGATATCTGCACTGCCAGAAGGCTCGGCGGACGAGCTCAAGGGCATCAACGCTACATTCACAACGGAAGGCGTCTTTCTCACCATGTCTTGCTCTGCAAAGGACGACGAAGCGCTCTGGGCGTTCTCCAAAGAGGTTCCTCTGCCCAAAACGGGAGACACAAGAGACGGGTGGGAAGTCAAGCGTGAAGAAGAAATCGCCGGCTTCAAGAATGACCTGTTGGACCTGATAAGTGACGCCAAAGGAGAGTGGGGAAACATCATGAGAGCCATGGTACAGGAGACCTCGGTCGTGAGATTCTATCCCGTATACAGGCTAGCCTCGGGAGGGAAATGGTACAAAGGTCGGTGTCTTCTTTTGGGAGACGCCGCTCATGCCATGGCCCCTCATGCTGGTCAGGGTGTCTCCATGGCCGCAGAAGATGTATTCATGATCGCAAGGTTGCTAGAGAACCCTGACAGATCTCTCGAAGATGCATTCGCAGCATTTGACAGGATCCGGCGTCCTCGAGTGAACGAAATTACGATGCAGGCGACAAAAAACTCAGAGGTGCGGAGAAGGTCGAGCGAATGGGGGCTGTGGTTGAAAGAAACCGCTATTTGGGCCTATTTCTGGGTTTCCAGATTGGTGGGGTACAATTCTTTGGCCAATACAGAGAGACAATTGCTCTACGATGTGGATGAAGCCGAGATCTGAGGATGGTGCCGAATTGGTCGCGGGTTGGAGTTTGTAGAGCCGCTCGGAGAGATATGGCTCGAAAAGAGACGGCTGGGAACCTAAGACGCGAACGGATATGAATGCCCAAAACCTGTTTTTTTGCTTTTATTGGAATAGATTATTCGTGTTGGAAAAGCACACCCTTTAGTGATATCGTGAGCCGCGTAGGCAAAGGTGAACATTGAACATTGGCCAAGGTGTGAAACATTCATCGCCACATTTCTTCGAGTGCACTGTGAAATTCACACTGTGCGGGCGAATTGGACTTTCGCAAATTCGCAACCTTAGGTTGGTAATCATCACATTTTACACCTCTTGGAAGTTGAAACCAAATGTGCATCCATGTAGAGCCACAAGGACGAGCTCTCATGAGCTTATTGCGATAAAGCGTCTGATTGACATTCCTCGAATCACCACACCGGCGACAGCCGTGAAGCCTATTCAACTGGCACGAAGCTCAGTATCAATGGACACGCAGGCATCAGCAGATGGGTTGGGCAATTTGATCGAAGTCTTGAAACAGCCTCGGGTACTATCCTGCGCTCAGTGTCAACATCGCAAGGTAAAATGCGATCGCTGCAGCCCATGTTCCAACTGCGCCAAGGTACGTCTGGGTTCGTCGGGAAACCGCATGCGTCTGGCTGATGCTTTGCCTAGGCGGAGGTTCTCTGCACACCTAGTACGCCGGCGCCGGCGCGGAAGAGACGCGCGACGAAGCAGGATCTTCTCGAGCGAGTGGAGCGATGTGAAGCCTTGCTCAAGGGATATGCGCCAGTCGTCGACAGACCGCAGACACCTAGTTCGAGCAACCATGTGCCAGACGATCCGCCCGGCGCCTCTTTTGAACCCAGCTCGTCGGCGCAGGAACTGAACGCATCATACATCACAACAAGAAATGATGGCAGTGTCAGATTCACTGATAGTTTCGGCACTGTTGTCATGCATGAGGAGGTAAGGATGACCCATTGTCCTTAACTTGCAACCTTTTAACGGTGGAATAGTTGGTTGCTATTCAGAATAGCATCAAGTGGGATGACTCTGCGGATGAAGGGCCCATAGAGAGCATATATGAGTCACCGTACAAGAGACTCCCGATCACCGAGTTTAAGACCTCGGCGTCCGACACACCAGACACTCAGCCCGGCCCTGTTGAAGCCATGAATCTCTGGGAGCATTTCATTGAGAGAGTTAATCCCTTGACAAAAATTGTCCATGTTCCAACTCTGGAACCGTATGTAATGAGAGCGGCGGTGGGGATGCACTTGGTCCCTATTGAGTACCAAGCGCTCCTCTATTCGATATATGCGATGGCTGTGATATCCATGTCAGAGAAAGAGTGTTTTGACTTGCTAGGACACAGCCGCGATACCATGCTGAAACACTATGGTGGCAGTACCAAGAGGGCACTGATGAAGTATAATCATAGGGAGAATTACACAATGATCACCCTTCAAACATTGATACTGTATTTGGTTAGTATCAGACGTTAAAACAACTTGCATACAACCTCTAACGCTCAAACCAGTTAACCCTCGAGGACAGAATTCACAGACACGCTTCCTGGGTCACCAGCGGTATCGTAGTAAGGATGGCGTACTCCATGGGCTATCACCGCGACGGAGAATGCCTTGGACTGGGTCCATTCGAAACCGAAATGCGTCGCAGAATTTGGTGTCAGATCATTATCCAGGATGCTAAGAATGCTCTCTTGTCTGGACTCAGTGCCGCTATGCTCCCCATCCAATGGGATACAAAGCCGCCCTTGAATATAAACGACGCTGACATGAGCCCCAGTAGCGGCTCTCCAATAGTATCTCGCGAGGGGCCGACTGAAATGGCATATGTCCTCGTTGCGCGATTGATTTACGCGTACAAGATTGACTGTGACAACCATATAGACACGCCTACCAACGAAGCAATCTTACTGGGGATGAGCTTGACAAACGATGAAAATACCGACCGAGCTGTGTTTGGAAAGTTTCGGGAACAATCCGAGGAACTAAGGCGAGCGCTAGAGAGCTACACGGTAAAGTATATCGGCGACGGGGCTGGAAAAGTCCACGTGGCGGCTACCATTTTGAAGACAACCATTCTGGAGAAACTCGACGATGCGCTCAGCCCAATAAAGGAGCAAGAAGAATGGGGAGTCGAGATCTTTAACTGGAAAGACAACCTGTTCAAGATGATTATACTGAGCATGGAATACCAATGTAATGCGCATGATAAAATGGCAGCTGTCGGGTTCGAATGGTATATGAGGCTGCAATTCTACCCCGATATGCTCGCTTCCTTGACCAGCCAGCTGTACCGGCGCCCCCTGGGATCTCTCTCTGACCGTGGCTGGCGGGCTGTGGAAAGGCTCCATGGGCATTACCCCGAGTTATTTGACATGAGCCAAAGACAGCAACTTATGCAGGCGCAGTTCACGCTCAAAGCTTGGGAGGCCCGGAAGATAGCGGTGGCTCAACGAGGGGGTAGCTTGGAAACGCCTGCATATATTGTGCAACTTGGACAGGCGCTGTCAGAGATGGAGGCTCAAAAGGCCGGGAAGCCGATAGACTGGAACGCACTATGGACTGATTTGCAGCCTTTCGGGGATGAGCTGAATTCGTTTATGGGCGAAGAATTTGTACAGATGAGCGACGGCCCGAGTGCTCGTGGCCATGGATTAGTTTAAATTGTTCCAAATGCGTCTGGTAGGTTTGGTGGCTTGCAGCAAGGTCAATTTCAGGGCCTACTATCTGGACACACAAAGCCTAATTTAACACCGAGATCTTTCATACGGGGGGAATTGGGCACAATGTTCATTGGGCAACGTGTCAGTCCATCTCTTCTACCCCCAAATCTTCATGGCCCCCATCCATCACCAAGCCTCTCCGCACGACTCGGGAATTCGGCACGCTGCTTACAGGGGGAGGGTTCCAATTTTGGGAACGACCAAATAAGAGAACGACGTTGCGCACACGTGTAGGAGAACCAAATCGAGCTAACATCAAATCAGCGACCGATTCACGATATCAGTGCTGCAAGAAAGTTTGCAACGGGATTAGAAGTATATAACGCTGCTGCCGAACTGAGCAAGGCGGAGAGCAATTGCGGGAATAAACGGCCGCTTTACATAAAGATGCAGCATCGCCCATCAACGGTGCTCTGGTGACCAATCCTAATTCCGGTATTAGGAATCACGCTCATTATGAAGTCCGGCTTTGTATTGGCTGCTTCCCTGCGGGGAGCGATTGCTCTGCTGAGCCCTCGTGGCCCTGATGCCGCTGGTCAGATTCGCCTCGCATATCACGGCGCAGATGGAATGACTGTTAGTTGGAACACTTTTGAGCATGTCAAAGCACCCTCGGTGAAATGGGGCTTGTCAAAGGGTAAACTCGAACACACGGCGTCGTCCAATGTTTCTTTGACGTATCCTACATCAACCACTTACAACAACCATGTTGTGATTAGTGGATTGAAGCCGGACACGACCTATTACTATCTGCCGTCACCGTTGCCCCAAGGCAACCATCTCGAGCCGTACACCTTCAGGACTGCCCGCGCTGCAGGCGACTCCGATGCCTTTGCCGTCGCTGTTGTCGTCGATCTTGGGACAATGGGTCGCCTGGGACTCACCACGTCGGCGGGCAGCTCAGTTTCCCAGAACAACATCCTGAAGCCTGGCGAGAAGAACACGATTGATTCCCTGGCCTCCACAAAGTCGAGTTACGACTTCATCTGGCACCCCGGTGACATTGCCTACGCCGACTACTGGCTGAAACTGGAGATCCAGGGCGTGCTGCCCAACACAACCATCCCGGACGGGCACACGGTATACGAAGCTATCCTCAACGACCTTTACGACGAAATGGCCGCTGTTACCGAGACAAAACCGTACATGGTCGGGCCCGGCAATCACGAAGCCAACTGCGACAACGGCGGCACCACTGACAAGGCCAAGAACATCACGTACGACTTTGGCATCTGTTCGCCCGGGCAAACCAACTTTACCGGCTTCAAGAACCATTTCCGAATGCCCAGCGATGTATCCGGAGGCACGGGAAACTTCTGGTACAGCTGGGACAACGGCATGGTGCACTTTATCCAGCTCGACACCGAGACGGATCTCGGCCACGGCTTCACCGGCCCCGATGAGATTGGCGGCACCGAAAAGGAGGGCGCAAGCCCGGTCAACGCGACAATGAACGCGCAGGCTACCTGGCTCGAGGCTGATCTCGCATCCGTCGACCGCAAGAAGACGCCCTGGGTGGTTGTCGCCGGCCACCGCCCATGGTACCTGAGCAAGAAGAACGTCACTGGCACAATCTGCTGGCCCTGCAAGGACGTGTTTGAGCCTCTGTTCATCCAGTACAACGTCGACTTGGTCCTCACGGGGCACGCGCACGTGTATGAGCGGCTTGCGCCCCTGGCTAATGGCGCTATTGACCCCAACGAGCTGAATAACCCCAAGGCTCCGTGGTACATTACCAACGGGGCGGGCGGTCATTACGATGGTCTCGATTCGTTTGATGAGCCGAGACAAAAGTACAGCCGATTTGGACTGGATACTGCCAATGCTACCTACGGATGGAGCCGATTGACGTTTCATAACTGCTCGCACTTGACGCACGAGTTTATCGCTAGTAATAACAACTCTGCGCTGGATACGGCTACGTTATTCAAGGACCGTTCTTGTGGTTCCTGCCACGGAAATGGCAATGGCAATGGCAATGGGGATGGGGGTGCTCATCACAGTGGTGCTGCTGGTTCTGCGACCCGCGAGCCAACTCGACCGACAAAGGTTGCAAATGGGAACTCTTGACGGCAGGAGGGATTAGCAATACAGTCACCGTCGCATGCTCTGGGTATTACTGGGGTAGGTATAGTCAGCTCAGTTTGTTTCTACTTTCAAATTGTCACATTAGTAACTGGAACGCATACAGCCCTCCCCTGGTTGGCTACTTGTCACTGTAAGGCACATGTGTCCTGGCAGTTTCTTCCAGACACGGCCCCAGCGGATAGATGTAGATGCAAACACGACTGTCGATTAAGCAAGAACTTTTACGCACTATGTACCAATCAAATGTGCATGCAGGTACCCAGTCGGCCCCCCGGACAGAGGAAACACAAATCTCCAGAAGTCAAGATGATTTTCCTCTCATAAAGAGACGGCCCCTTCAAGGCCAAACAACCAAAAGAAAGAGACTCTGACACTCTAGACTTGACTCCTCAAGGCACAACCAGAAACTTGTGGTGCTCATACGCACAGTCATTTAGAATCCGGCCGCTTGGCAAATCTCCGTCGCCTGATCCATAAACTCATGGTAGCGCTCTGGATTCTCAGAGCGCTGCACCTCCTGGCACAGATTGCCGACATCCATGTACTTCCATTGAGGGACGTTTTTCATCTCCTTGAAGAACTGGTGCGCCGAGCAGGCAACGTCCATGCTGCATTTGATGTTGGTGTAGATGGAGGCCCGCTGCTGGAAGAGCCCGATGGAGTCGGCGTCCTGGCCGAGGCGGTCGAAGTCGTAGGCCAAGGAGGCGGGCACGGCGGTGTTTGCGTGCATGATGAGCGTCGACTAGACGGGCAGAGAGAGGTTCAATGTTAGTACGAGTCGGCGCGGAGACGGCTCGCCTGCCGCGGGACGACGGCTCACCTCGACGAGGGCGGTGGCGATGCCCGCCCGGCACCCCTGGGAGCCGAGGTGCTCCTTCTTGGCCTGGGCCATGATGCCCCGGGCGTACTTGGACTGGAGCCCCGACAGGTTGCTGAACATTCTGGGGGGGAGGTCGCTGGAGATGTCGGCGGGAAGCGCGGCGGCGGGGGCGGCGCCCATGGCGGCGACGACGAGAGCAGCGGAGAATTTCATGATGGAAGGTGCGGGGTATTGCAGATGATGCTATTGTGTTTACGATTCCCAAGGTATGGCTTTTCACCGCGGTACGGCTGTTATGAGTTATGAACGGACATGAGCGTCCACGGGAACATGACAACGGGGTCTTCTTATGTGCTCGAATATGCTGAGGCATTTACCAGCATCCAAGTGGGTTTTGTTTTCGTCTTGTTGTATGGCCATGGCCGTTCTAGAACGGGAATATCGAGTTCGTCGCGTCATGTAGTTGGTGCCGTGCGCTGGCTGGTAAGAATAGAGTTGCTGCGGGCCGATCCAGGATGGAGGCGTGAGGTCAACTGGTGTGTATTGGTCCGATCCGTCAAGCCATCCGCTCCTATGTCACGGAGACTATGATATCTCCAGCTGAGGCGTGCAACTAATACAAAACAAGAAACTCAGCGGGTTCTTATCGTCGTGGACAGCCTGGGGGCACTCTTCATGCGCAATGGCTAGTTGACTTGAAGAGACAACACTCGGCCGAGCTGAAGACTGAGCATGTTCAGCTCGGCGCGGTCGATTTCGAACTTGTCAGAATCGGCAGCGCCACCGATTGGTGAGATCCAGATGGGGCATCTAATCGGAGGGGTCGATGGTCGATGTTACCCGAAAAGATGGCGCTGAGTCGAGACTTGTTCCTTCTTTCGCAGATGGCTTTTGGTGGGTGGGTGGTGGTATATGCTGCTTGTCTATGCTCTGAACAATGTTTCATAGTCTTGCTAATAGACTTGCGCAATCTTGTTGCCAGATGAGCGACGCAGGTCGGTTTACCGGCAATTTGTTACTTCTTGTGAGGATGGACTGCGTTCTTCCAGGTACTTATAGCCAGAACCAGTCGCATAATTGGACATGTAATTGTGAGTATTAGCCAATGCCACCCTTTCGAGTTTTCTAATCAGATGACTTCTCAGCTCCCGCTATGAATTCGCAAGTCGAAATGACGGACAGCATGGCCAGCTCAGGGCATTAAACACTCGGATATTAAGAAAGCTACCATTCTAATCTGTCGTCGCAAACCAACTCGACATCAAACCTGTCGTCCCGCCTCCATACCTTCCCGGGAACATTCAAGCCGGCAACTATGCTTCTCAGATCTGTAATGATGCCTCCGGGCCCGCTCGCAAAGACGACTGTCCTACCTGCGACGGTGCCCTCCACAAACGCACCAACCATCCTGCTCAGATCCGGATGTCGACTCTCATCATCCGCCCCGTCGCCGATTTTGTCCACAGAAATCCCCGGCGGACAAGTTGTTTTCTCGTCGCACGGGCAAATGTCGTCTGATGAGGACGAGACAATGTCCGCATCTTTTGGTTGGTGGCTCTCTTTGCCGCTGCCAGCAGCGTCTCTTGTGGCAAAGAGCGAGATTGTGAGGTTCAACTCCTTCTGGGCGTTGCGCAAAACAGCCATTTCGTCCTTGACCCAATCTGCGTTGCGGGAGTGTCGCATCGCCCAGATGAGCTCGATTCTACGATCCGATGGCGATCTGGTACGCGCTAGATGCAGCAGGACGGGGAGGACAAAGGCGATGCCTGTGCCGCCAGCGACGCAGATGATGTTTGTATCTCGGTCAATCTTCTCGAGGAGGTCTTCCCCGTAGCCGCCCGTGAGAAGCACAGGGGTGGCAACGGTCTCGTGCTGGCTGGTGGCGAGCTTCTTTGCGGCCAGCTCGGCCAGTTTCTTGGTTTCGCCGGATTTTGCTCTCAGAATGTACGAGTGCTTCACCAGGCCCTTCTCTACGACGGGTGCATTCAGAGGCGTAAACGGGTGAGACTGCCAGATGCTTGACTCGGTAAAGCACAGATAGTAGTGCTGGCCAATCTTCCACGCATCCTGCTCGTTCTCCAGGTCCAGCCTTATAATCTCACCGTGTTCCGGGTCGGGAAATCGCGTAATCAACGCTTGGGCTGGCTTGAATCCCGCGTACGCCGATGAAGTAGGGTGGTAGTGCAACAGGCCGGTCCTCACGAATCTCGCGCCTCGGTCAACACCCCATAGAATAAAGGCCGGGACCAGGAAGCACTCCAGCTTGTTCCAGTGTGCCCAGCATGCGCCAATGTATACCATGGCCAAGACGTAGTGCGCCTTGCGGAAGAATTCATATCCCGTGGCTCGGATCCCCCACGGCGTGCAGAGGATGAACATGATGAGAAGCAGAATCATGGCCACGATGCCCCAGATGATGTATGGCTGCACGATCCACTCCAGACTCACTTTGGGCTGGGGCTGGTACAGATTCAACTGGATGATGAGCCATCCAATAGTGTGAAGAAGAGACTGGATGACAATGATGTAGCCTAGCCACCTGTGTAGAAAGTTGAAACTCTGGTACGGCACGCCCGTCAGGACGGAGAGCAGCGATTCTCTGCTGCTGAGCAGGATGGACAGCGGCGTGAGTGCGTAGGCGATTACTCCCACTCGATCGGACCAAGGGCCCAAACTCGTTCGCGTGTTGTACACCCCGGGCATGTTCTTGACGGGCGTGACCCATGTGTTGTACGTGATGCCCAGGAAGCTCCATATGAAGAGGTATCCGGACAGGAGAGCCAACACGACCACCTGGAAGCGCGTGGTGCGACCAAACAGAAAGTGATTTGCGTCGCGTAGCAAGAATCGCCTCGAGGCCACGGCCGTCGTTTTCCGTAATTTGCTCAAGGCGCCCTGGTCCGATTTTGAAGTTTGCAGCGTCCCTTGAACGGCCGGTCGGCTGGCTCTCCTCAGCAACACCCAGAGGAAGATGACGCCAAATATCGTCGCCCACAGGATCCCCATGTACAACATGCCCAGATCATGGGCAAGGTACACGACGTCCAGATAGGCGCACGACCCGGCATCATTCTTGCAAGGGACTACGCGATCGGGATACCCCCAATGGGCCTGGGTGTCACTGGCATCGGAGTGATTCTGAATATGTCGCGGTTCCAGCATGGCGTGCAGATTGATAACCGGGCGTGACGTCTGGTAGCACAGGGGAGGGTTGTAATCGACGAGAGAACAAGAAAGAGAAGTGAAATGGAAGCCCGAGCAGAGACACAGTTATACTCTTTCCGAAATAAGCTTGAACCTAGCCGGGCCCGGACAGGGATATCTCCCGCCTCTTTGGGTCTCCCCTCCCCCTTGAAGAAATTGCATCAAACTCACTCATACAGGGTCCAATCGAGAGCGACGAAAAGGTAATTGATTCCCAAGGCCGACGACCGAGCAACGGGTTCGTTAAAGATCATCAAGGTTGTCGTGCATTCGTGGTTGAGCAGGAATGAGCAAGTTTTGCGGAGCTGCGCCGTGAGGATCGTCAAGACTAGAGCGAATCAGTTCCATCTTGGATTCAAGGACCGGTGCGTTTTAGCGTCGATATCGAATCTTGCCGGGGCCGTGAGTGCATTGACGACGGACTTGGCAGGTTGGCTATACCGTGTCCGGAATGACAAACAAGCGCAGCGCGGGTTTCATTCTGCTCGTCTAGGTGGTTGAGAATATTCGTCGTCATCCGACAAGGCTGGGCCTGGCCGACTCGCCTCCGCCCTTTAATTAACCGACGACGGCTCCTTCGACCAAGACATTTGCGGCACCGTCTCTGCCGAGAATTTTTGGATTCTGAAAAATCGACCACAGGTTCAGATTGTGCGTGCACAACTCGTCGTCGACTCAATCCAGCATCAGCATCAGCATCAGCATCACCACCACCATGGACCACGGCAGCCATGGCGGCGGCGACGATGGCTCGTCGTGCAAAATATCGGTACCAATAGCCTCACCAAGCCCTCGCCAGGTCGTCTCGTCAAGCTAACAAGCCGAACCAGATGCTCTGGAACTGGTACACCATAGACGCCTGCTTCCTCACGCCCAACTGGCACATCACGACGCAGGGCATGTTCGCGGCCACGTGCATCGGCGTCATCCTGCTCGTCATGCTCGTCGAGTTCTTCCGCCGCCTCGGCAAAGAATACGACGCCTTCCTCATGCGCCAGTTCCAGCGCGAATCGGCTCGCCGATACGTCGACGGCACCAGTTTCGGGCCGCACGTCATTACGTTCCGCGCGACGGTCCTCCAGCAACTGACGAGGTCGGTCCTGCACGCCTTGACCTTTGGCAGCGCCTACATCGTCATGCTGCTCGCCATGTACTTCAACGGCTATGTGATTATCTGCATCTTTATCGGCGCGGGGCTGGGCAAGTTTGTGTGTGACTGGTTGGAGGTGAAGATGGATGTGGACGGCGGAAAGGAGGACAAGCAGATTCGCGGCATAGAGGAGCCGAGCGTCTGCTGCGGATGAAGGGAATATTGGTGGTTAGTAGCTACTGCATAGTAATAGCAATTGATGGCGATTTTCGCTCAACGTTAATGCGAGTGTGTCACATCGAGAGAGGTGAATTGTGTTGCCATGTTTTTGCACCAGGCTTGCGATGGCAAGTGATGATGTGGGGACCATCAAATAAACATTGGATGCAGGCAAGCCATATATACAAGAATAACTTGTTTCGGAATATCTGCGGCCATAGATTAGCTGGGAGATCGTCAGACTGAAGCCTTACTTCAATCCTACGGATGCCTATCTGAAGGTCGTGTGTTCGAGTCACACTGGCCGCATTTTTTTTTAGCTTTTTTGTTCCAAAGTCCCGGGATATTCCGCGTGTTGGTGTAATAAGTAAGCTCTTTTACCTCTGGTAAATTTTGAAACACCTCGCTCTTCTTTTTGGGGAAGGAATATTAAAAAGACCTTTTGACATCAAGTATTAAATCGTCAGAGAATGAGACTTGTAAGCCCCGGCCGGATGGATAGATTGAAGAGGCCTGGGAGAGAGATGCAGCCGTGCGAGGTGTGGTCAATGAGCTAGCTTCTGACGGGCATTTTGTTGAATCGGTTGGCGATGAGATATATCTAGCAAATCCTTGTTCACATATAGTTGCAGTGAGACATTAAGAAACGAGACAGAACGTACTTGTTTGGCTCCAAGGAGGGATATAGAATGTCCCTTATGGCCCCCTTACCCGGACGGCCGGCTTCAAGCAGCTACTACACATCGCCTAGGACCCAAACCTAGCAAATCCAGATCATCTGCTCGCACATTGCATATCTCAGCTGAGACGTGGCGTGTGTCGGAGTAATGTTCAAACAGGTCGGGCCGCAGCTGTTACACGGAAAGGGCCCAACAACAAAGAAGCCCAACAAAGGAGCCTCACCGAGAAAGGAGCTCTTGGTTACACAGACTGAACACATGATCAGGCAGAGGCCCTAGTCACAGACGTTCCCTGTATATATAGCAGTCACTTATCCATCTCTCCCTCTTCAAAAACCAAGGACCTTTGGCACCCTTAAGATTGTCCTTGAAAACGAGGTCTTTGCTCCAAGCCTTCTATTGAACCCTTGTCAAACCCGTTCCTGTTGCGGAATTCATCGCGTTTCCATACACGATTAAACAGAGGCGGGGTGATGCCACGACGCGTACGACTCTGTTGTTGCCGCCAACAAGGCCTTCGGACGTGTACTCTCTCACAAATGGGTCAGCATCAGTCACTCCCAAGGCTGCGGAAAAGTCTGGAATCTGGCTGAGAGCGAGCACGTTCAGCATCATGCTGTGGGACACTTGGGCACTGTGGCAATTTCTCCGGCCACCCGCATCCTGGATATGTTCTCAAGAAACTCAACGACTATCCTGTCCCGGGTCTCGTCACCGTCCTGCCAGAGGCTATTGTGATAAGGGCTCAATAGGAGGCTTGGAGCGAAAGACTCGATTTCAAAGATAATCTCGAAGGATATTGAAGGTCCTTGGTTTTCCAAGAGGAAGAGAGAGATCAATTACTACTGTGTATATGTAAAGGGAACATTTAGTTTGAGGGCTTCTGCCCGGTTATGTGCTTACCCTGTGTAACCAAAGGGTCATTTCTCGGTGAGGCCTTTTGTTGGGCTTCGTTGTTGGGCCTTTTCCGTGTAATATGTGGACAGTATTGATAGCGAAGGCGACCAATCTAGCTGGAAATACACGGCCTTCTTCCCTCCTTCTGAAGGAGTACACCTCGGTCCATGATGTCTTTAATCTTCAATTGCAAGCAGCCTTGAAAATGATATGACATTATCCTACAGATCCTTTTTCAGTGAGTAGCCCCTTGTACCACTGTCGCATAGCCAGCATGCATCTCCCCGTCGTCCTATTCTGGCCTTCGAGGAGAATAAAGTCATGTGCCATCCGTTCCTGAAGGTCCAGCCTTAGTTCGAAACTAGGGTTTGCCCGCCGAACCTCTGATGCATATCGTATCACTTGGTCCCGCAGAACCTCCTCGTTTCCCGCCGTGAGGTACACCGTCTTCACAACCAGCGGCATCCGACGCATATACGCCAAGTCTCGGTCAATTGGAAACGCAGCCATTTGCGACTTGGCGGGACAATCAGTAACAGCACTAAGACCCAAGTAGTACATGTTTGATTTTGCCACAGTCTCAGCAGAAATCATGTCGATCCAGCCGTTTTGTACAAACGACTCATCAGTCGTCTTGTTACTCAGTCGCGGAGACACCAAGAACATTCCGGCCAGCGGTTCATCAAGCACAATGGTCGGGATAAGAGGAACCGCTTCGCACAGATGGCTTATCAGCTGAGCTGCAAGATTCCCACCTGCAGAGTCCCCCCCAACGATAATGTCCCTAGGACAAATACCGTGATCGAGGAGACGAGCGAGTGCTGCGACGGCCTGACGCAGCTGCACGGGATACAGCGCTTCCGGACAAAGGGTATACTCGAGCACCGCAACGGCTGTCTCAACACCATTCTCTATCCCGACGCTGACATATGTGCGCCAGCACCACTCAAGATGTCCTGGCAGCAACGGCACTACGTATCCTCCTCCGTGGAAGAAGAGCACAACCTTTTTGGCTTTCCGGCAGTCTCCAACCCAAAGAATAGACGACCTCTCGTCCGTGAGGGGGTCAATTTCGATCTTTAGTCGCGCTTGGACAGATGCGTCCCTGCGAGATTTTGACAACTTTTGCCGAACCCAGGTGGTGTAGGTCTGTCTTGTAGTCGGTGACAGGTATTGGATCTGGCGGCCTGTAAACGTCCGCAAGACGACTTTGAGACAGGCACAGCGAATAAAGGGCCACAGTGGAAGACCCCTATGCAGCGAAATGGAAACGGCGCACAAGATGTATATTAATAGAGTCCATGGTGCTGCCTGACGTTAGACGTGATGCTGTGCTTGGCCGCGAGAGGGGGCCACTTTACTCAAGAAGATGAGGCGGATGAGCAACAGAACCTTTTCGGCGGTGGTAAACGGCGGATTCATTGGTGATGGGTGATGGATGATTTAATAGGGTAATGTATATATTTTTGAGGACAGCTCAAGTGATAAGGTTTGGTGTTGAGATGCGGAGTTGCGTTCGGCCAAGGACCCGCCTGGCCCCATTTTTCCCGTGTGGAGTCGGCCGAACTGGCAGCTTGGCAGCTCCGCTTATGATTTGGGTTAGGGTAATCTACATACGAAAGCGGAAGTCCGCAGAGTCGATATTGTGCGGCGGCTTTCATGCAAAAAAATCAGGACATGTCATCTAGTAAACTTGTCCTCGAGAGAGGTGCTTTTTTGGCAGGATAAAGCTGTTTAGCTGCATTGATCATGAGCCGCAAAGAAAGGGAATAAGGGCATGGTCGAGCTCCGTCTGAAGACCTCAACGTGAGTTCTAGGACTGATTCTAGTCGTATTGCACTATCTCCAGTCGCATAGAAGCAAAACAAGGTAGTAGTCAACTTCCTCCTAAATAAGGCAGCGAATATAAGCCACGATAAATATTATAGTCGCATACTCTTATACAGACAGCAGAGGAGGAGAATACCACGTCGGCGAAACTACTTCTCGATAAAGGCGGTAACATAAACTCGAAGGATAATTATATTCGGACAATCCTATATATGCTTTTAAGACCGGCGACAAGATATTGGCGGAACTTCTCATTGAGAATAGTGCTGAGCTCACTATCGTGAGGGTTAGAGAAGACCAGGGTTGGGGTTAGGGTAACCGTGCGCTATTGCGAGTTGGCAGGTTATAAATCCAATTAATATGTTCTTTTATATCTGACTCGTCTAGAATATTCTTTCAAGATTAATCTTACAGCTTCTCATAATAGGTCAACTCGGCCGATTCAACCAGTCACGCGCGACGTTCAGTCTTTTTGGTGTCGTCACAACGGCAAGGTACGTAGAAGCAAATATTCACACCTTTTGGTCCCAAGTCAGTGCCAGTAGTTGACCGGGACGAATCCAAGTGGCCATCTTTCGGAGGCTGTCTTTTCTGCCAAATCTAGCTTCGTCACCAACTGCGCGGTGCGAACTTGATTTGCCGCGCGAAAAATTAATGCAGGCAAAATCCTATTCTTACCTGCTAGCTGTACTCGATAGTTGTGTGATTAACAAGTGGAATGACCGTCGCGGGAAATATGACTGGCGGGCGAGGATTTACTACGTGCCTGATCACAGCACCTATGCCTGGGAATACTTGAGTTTGTTCTACCGCACGCAGCGCCTCGCGCCTGGATATAGCTGCTATATCTTGAGGATAGGAATCTAAGCGTTGATAGGCTATGCGTGAGCGGACATGGTAGGTAGTTCCGTGCCTCTATGAATAGGGTCTGCACTGGCAGAGGGCTTTTCATCATCAAACGCGGCCACCTTGGGCTAGGGCCAGCAGGCTTGATGGAAGGAGATTGCGTTACGGTCCTCCCCGGTGGTTCCGTGCTCTTTGTGGCAAGGTCACACCGCTCCAAGTGGTTACTCGCCGGTGAATGTTATGTTGATGGTCTTGTAGGTGGAGAAGCGGTGGATGAGTGGCGTCAAGGAAGATTACAGGATATGGATTTTGAAATTATCCAGTGGCTGGAACGGGTGCAATGTTGGACCAAGATGATATTACTATTGGTAAAAGAACTTGGATTTTTAGCTGTGGTAGTGTGTAATACCCTTTGGTTGGGATAATCACTTTGCCGACTCTGGTCATGAAACCCTCAATGGGAAAGTATTATTGTAGATGGACGTGAAAGAAAGGCAGCCCAAACCTTGACAAAGGTTTCAACGTGTCAGCGAGCTGGTGTTGAACTGCATTGTGATTATTGTGGCATGTGACACGAGGCGCTTACACTTTTGTCCTTTGACATGGTTGGCAAATTTTCCAAGAGATGGCTCCCGACGGGAACCAAACTCTATGTCAACCTGAAACACAGCTACCTGGGGTGTACTCCGTAGAAGCTTTGATACAGCATTTAAACAGCTATGCAGTTAACAAACGGTAGCAAAAGACGGTCTGGAATCAACGCCACTCTATTGACCACCATTGTATCAGTTCTCAACGGCCAACGATTGTCTAGAACTGTGGCGCATGCAAGAACCAACCCACCCCACCTGGTATACAGGTCAACGGTATCAAATTATCACGGTACCAGGGCGTTGGGCTACGGCATGTCGAGAGCACTTGCGGTGAGAGGAAGCCACCTAGTTCAGTGGCGTGGATGGTGAGTGCAGGATTTTGTGAGGCCAGGATAGATGTGCAGATAGGCTACGGCCCAAGCTTCTTTTCCTGCCACAAATTTTGTCACGATGGTCGCAGAGGGAGCTTACGCCTCCTTGTAGTACTTGACCGTAACTTGACGCTTCCGACCTAAGCGGAGGCACATTAAAGGGGTTCCTGACATTTTCTTGTCATGGGCATGATGGTCTTATCACATCTGTTCAAATGAATGCCAACAGCTAAATATCACCTAGCCGTTGGAGAGAATCAACGGCACAAGTACTCATGACGCCCCGTGGCTGGTGATGACGCCAAGGCTGGCCAGCTCTCCAATATAAGCCGAGTCGCCATGTCAGCCTTATCAAGGCATGCCCAGAGAGGAACAATCCAAGAGAGGCTGACACGGAACACGGCCCATTGGTCTGTCGCTTCCGCAACAAACATGCGTGTATGAAGTCTCCACACCATCTCGAGAACAATGGGATGCCCTCCCATTCATGGGCCGTATCGCAATCTTCATGACGCCACCCGGCGACACAAAGACGTCCTTCTTCGGCAAAGGTTTCCCTCACAGTGGATCTACTACTGTACGTGTCAAAGACAGGCCACCGGGCGGCCCGGGGTGCAGCGCTGTTTGTCCACGTCGGACGACCACGTAAGACATAAATATGCACGCCGCGTTTCAGGACTGGAATTCGCGTGGCTAGGATACGTGTAATTTGCTTTTCCTGTTTGTGGGCGCGTATACATAAAGAGGAAAACCATTCTCGCGACTCCAGGTTTCCGACGCGGCAACTCTTCCACCTCAAAACCAGCCGCCTTCACTGTCTAGATAGCTGGAAACAGTGCATCAACCGTTGAAAATGTATTTCCAACTCTGGTGGCTTTTCCACCGGTGTCTCCTGAAGCACTTCAGATAGCCTGCTTGCATTCAGCAGACCATTCAACACCACCGTGTACCGCCGCCACCTGAACATCACGCCCTCATCTTGGCAGCCTCCAAAGCCACCACATCATCTACATGGCAACCTCTGCCTCAAAGCTAGTCCTCTCTCTCAGCATGTCTCGGGCGTATAACTGCCCTCCTCGGCCATTCTCATCTTTCAACTCTGAACACTCCATCCATCTTTCCGCACAATGTACTCCATATACATCGCCTGTTGCGTCTTGTTGGGCCTGCTCTTCTGGATCCTGGACCTCGCCTACCCACGACCGTACGCCGGGATCCCTTACAGCAAGCAGGCAGCCAAGCGTCTCCTGGGAGATGTCCCGGACTTTGTCAAGTTCATCCAGTCGGGCCAGGACGCGGCACACTTTGGCATCGCGCAATGTCGCAAACTCAACTCGCCCCTCATCCAAGTTTTCCTGCGGCCCTTCTCGCGACCATTCATCTTTCTAGACGATGATCGAGAGGTGGAAGACATCCTGGCCACACGTACCAAAGAGTTCGATCGAGCTCCTTCCACCGTCGGTGCCTTCAAGCCATTCTTTAAGCACTCTAGCATTCTGAAACAAACGACATCGGCATGGAGAGCGCAGCGCCGGCTATGGGCCGATACAATGAGCACCGACTTTCTCCGTCGGGTGGCAGCTCCCAAGATGCACAAGTATGCCTTGGAGCTGGTTGAGCTGCTGAGGACCAAGACGGTCATTGCCCGTGGCCGCCCGTTTTCCGTAGAAGAGGACTTTGATCTTGCCACGTTTGACATTATCTGGGCGTCTGTATTGGGCTCAGACTTGAACGGGGTGTTGAACGAACACGCCGGCATTCAAAGCGGCCTCGATTCCGTGGCCCAGCCCGAGTCGACGGATTCTCCCGCCGTGATGCCTCGTGTGCAGCGCGGGCAGATGTTTCTTGCCGCCGAGTTCTTCAACATGACCATGGAACAGTCTCTCACGTCGCCGTTGCCAACGCTCCAGCATTGGATCTGGCGCCAGTTGCCGACGTATAAAAGGCACTGGGCAGTCAAGGAACAGATTGTAAACGACCTGATCAAGAACGCGCGACACCGGTTCGCACACTCTTCCGAGACTCAAGGATCCGGCGATCAAGACACGTGCGCCATGGACTTGGTCCTGCGTCGCGAGTCTCTGGCGATTCAAAAATCAACCACGTCAAGTACTCTCACGCCTCCGACAACGGCAGAGGTCCACGACGAGCTGTTCATGTTTCTGATTGCGGTACGTGCCACTCAAAAGACACCAAACTCATCAAACACCGCTTCTAACTCAGAGCCAGGGCCACGAGACAACAGCAACCATATTAACCTGGTCCACCAAGTTCCTCACCAACAACCCTACAGCGCAGAACACGCTTCGCGCAGCGCTCCAAGACGCATTCCCCGAGTCATCCCCGTTGCATCTCCCACCCGTAGAGGCCCTCATCGCCGCCAAGATCCCGTACATGGACGCCACGCTGGAAGAATGCGTCCGCCTGGCCAACATCACCCCTCGGCTCGTGCGCGTCGCCACCGTCGACACCCACGTCCTGGGCTATCACATCCCCAAGGGCTCGCAAATCATGTGCAGCCCCTACGTGGGCGAGGCCCCCTTCGACATTCCCGAGTCGCTGCGGACCCGTAAGTGCCGGGCGGCCAAGGACAATGTCGACCGCGGCTGGGGGCCCGACATGTCGCGGTTCTGCCCGGAGCGGTGGCTCGACGACGCGGGAAACTTTAACCCCAGGGCGTTTAGGAGACTGGCGTTTAGTACGGGTCCCAGGGCATGTTTTGGTGAGAGATGCGTTTCCTCTAGTCTTCTTGGTGCCCCGGACTAACTGTGACAAATAGGCAAGAAGCTGGCTATGCAGGAGCTGAGGGTTGTTATGGCGCTGTTGGTGCTGAGCTTTAGGTTTGAGGCTATTCCGGACGCGTTGAATGGGTATCAGGGCCGGACGAGGGCGTTGCATGCCCCGAGGCAGGGGTATGTGCGGCTGACGCCTCTTTGAGGAGAGTTGTGCCCTGGAGGGGATAGGTTCAGACTATATACCCAGTGATGTGTATACAAGGATTCTAGAATATCTAGTTGAAAAGGGCGTTTATTCTACGTCTGTCCTGACTGGTTCGTTTTGGATATTTTTCTTATATTTTGTCGGAAGCAGACGTTGCCTATTAGCTGTTAGCCGGTTGTTTCGGCAATGGGCGGACTGCTTGATGAATTGTATGAAATCAGTAGGATTCTGGTATTATATAGAGTTTAGCAAGAACATGTCTGGCGCTTTTATCGGGGTAGGGTTGGAGTTGGTTGGAGAGTTGATAGAGGTAACCTACTTGTTGGGCTATACAAGTTGACCAGTGAGTATATTGCGGAAAAATACCGACGAATTGGATAAATTTGAGCGTTTATGCTTGTTTGACGTGTGAAGTCTTGGTATTGTCTTGTCTGCATATACTACCGTTGACATGTCAATGAACTCGGCATCAGCGCAAATAACTTGGACGTACGTAATTGACTAAAGACAAAACAAAGATTTCACCGCCTAAGGTTCAATTGAGGCATTAGGCAACTCGCCTGGAATAGTGTTCGGACTCGCCTTGTCTCGCAGTCGCAATTCAAGCGCGACTCTCTGCGTATTGCTCAATAAATGCCTCGACTCCCTGTAGGGGTCGGCAGGTGTTGCAGTTACAATCCGATAGCAAGGTCCTTCGCCCGGTATCTTGATTGGCTCCCCGTTGTTGTCGAATGCGGCCCAAATCGCTCTTATCAATCCAGATGGCCCCGTTACGAGACATGACATGCAGGCCAGTGAAATGAGAGACCCTTATCGTACACCACTTTCGTACCGACTGCTACCTTGCCATACCTTGCTTTCCGGCAGTCCGCGCAGTGACTTGCTGTTTAGGGTGCAGAAAAAACGCAGAACCTTGCCTTGGGCATTCTAATTGAAAGATTACGCATCGGCTTGATTCGATCAAATGGTGTTTCAGGGCCGGCCGCCAGAGAGCTGTGTGAGCAAACCAACACGGAGGCCCGGATGACTCTGGAGTTTTTTGCATGTGCAATCGACATCCCTTGTATTGCTTGATGAGTTGATTCAGCTGACATATGCTCATTGTCATCAACGTCGTTGTGCCTTGGTAGATGCTCCATGCTCGACACACTTTATTTGACGTTGTTCTCTGCCACACTTTTGTCGCCCTCAACTACATACTGTGACAACAAGCCGAAATCAAATCAACGCTCCAAGCCACAAGGCGCCAACGCCCGCCGTCCTTTTCGGTTCAAGTGTATTTGCGCACTGACGGTGGGTGCTTCCGGGCCATGGCGTTCCAAAACGAAGTCGACGACGAGGTCGAGTTCCTCCTGGCGCCCTTCCGCGACATTGTCAGCAAGGCCAAGGATGCGGCTGAGAATGCTGGCGATGAACAGCCGTCGATGCGCAAAGCGGCCGAGACTCTCTGCAAAGAGGGCCAGCGCGCGTTGAATCGTCTTGAGCCGCTCTGCAGCAAGATCGCTAGCCAGCACGGGGTCGCTTTCACGAGGGCCATAAAGGCAAATGGTAATTCTGGAGCCATACAGGATCGTTGCTGTTATAGACTGACTAGAGTCGATTGCAGAGGACATTGGCAATTACAACATGGAGCTTACAGATCTTCTCTGGAGCTTCGACGACTACACCGCTATAGAGACCTTTGACCAAGGACAGTACACGCAGCTTCAAGCACTCTGTCGAAATGTCGCACCCAAGATTTACAATATCCTGGTGCAGAAGAATATTGAGCTTTTGTCAAAGATGTCAGACCCAGACTCGCTGCTGCACATTGTCCCGGAATCGCCGCCCACATCACCTTTGTATCCCATGTCGCCGTCTTCATATACTTGGCAGCTAGATAGTAAAACGAACCCCGAGCCACTGATATTGACAAGTCCATCGTGGGGTGGTAGCCCGGCATCTCGTGCCAGACAGAGCCAGCCAGGCCGTCTTACACACTCAAACACGGCGTACTCGAGCTCTACCACAGCCCCGGAGTTGGCAGTGGGCAATCCGAGGCGTCAATCTTTCAGCAGTGGCCAGTCTTCGGCGTCGTCCTCAAGCCCGTCAACTCGCAGCAATCCAAGGCGGCCAACTCTGCCGATTCGAACGCCGGAGGAATCAAGTGTATATCCTGGCCAGCACTGGTCATTGCCCCAGCACCTACCATCTCGCGAAGCCTACGAAACCTATCCCCAATCAAGCCATCTGTCTATTTCTGAAAGCGTGTCAACCCAGGAAGCCTCGCCGATTTATGCCCTGGCAGGACGCCAACCTCCGTCCAAAGCCGTTCCGCCGACCCCAGCAGATGGCTTGCCGCCCAGCAACTGTGTCATTGATGAATCCAGTTCTATTTACCAGTACAAGGGGTTTTGCTCCGGCGCAAAAGAGGTTCTCAAGGGAAACAGCGGCGTGAAGCGGAAGCAAAAGCCTGTACAGAGGACGCTGTCGCGCGTAGTCGCAAAATGTACCGGCTGCGCCTGGGAGTTGGACTACGAGCACATCGAAAACGACCAATCCAACAGAGGTAAGTGAATACCGGCCACCCTGCCACGTCTATGCATTCCTGCTAACAGACGTTTTGTAGAAAGCGGCACCATGACCAGGCACGATGTGCATTTCCGGCTGCGGTTTCTGCAAAAGAGCCACGTTGCCGTGAAAAGAGCCGACGACAGGCTATACGGATGTATTTTCTGCGTTTGCAGCGGGCACACCCTGGAAGAGAGCGACGCGACCATCTTCTTCTCGGCGGATGACTTGTTGGCCCATCTCGCACGACATGCGCGGCCGTTGCCCGTGATTCCCGGCATTGCCGTCGTGTACGGGACATGTGTGCCGCCGCACCTACAAAACAACCACGACTTGCATTTCAGAGTCGCCCCCAAGCCGAATCCAGTACATGCGGACAGCGCGGAAATCAACGGCCGGCCAACTGGCGTAGCCATGAGGGAGGTTCGAAGAGACGAGGCGCAGCGAAGGATTGTAACCCGCGGCCGCTTAGAGGAGTTGCAAGTGGCGATGGGAGCCAAGCTCACCGGGATCAAATGGCCGCCTCAATATAAGGGCCGGAAGGTGTTTGCCTGGCACGACGGCCATTTCGCCTCTGTCCCGTCGGATATTGTCATGTTGAATGCCCCCGTGGGCAGCGGCCTCAACGGGGCCGTGAGGACGGCAGTCAGCGCCCGGGCAAAGTGGAAGTTTTCCCCAAAGCACGGCAAGAATGGGTGGCTCAGGTTTGACAAGGGAGACGCCATTACCAACATTAGCTGTGGGTTTTCTTGGGAGATGCGGCATCGTGAATGGGACGCTGATCTGGGGAATAGGGCAACATCCCGACCACTGGTGTTGGTGCGGTACGACGAGAAGCGGCACTTGGGGCATATTCCCGCAGGCGTTTCTTGATCCGAATACTGTGAAGGACGGGGGGCGTGGATATTTTTCTGTGGACTGACGACTGAGGTGTGAGGCAGTTGTCGTGGGTGTCACTGGAAGTTGCAGTTTTATGCAAAGCGGAAGCGGCGCGAGTTTGGTTTCCCATATATCCTTGAGTTGCTGGGAGTGGTACGGGCCGTGCTGACTGCGTGTGTATAAGAGCGTGGCTTTATTATGGTTTCTGTATATACTGTGACGTATAGGCCTATTAGCAAGGATAAATGGAAACAATTTAGTTTTGAAAAGGTTGAACCTTTTAGTATAAAGCTTGAAATATAATAATGGTTCTCTCTTTACAATTGACAGTTTACGGAAAGACCAATATTGAAAATCAAGTGTAGTTGTAAACATGCATTTTATTATATCATGGTCGAGCCAAAGTCGAGTCATGTCCAACTGGTTCCTTATTCAACATGACTGTGAATCGGTTCAGTCGCATGGGGAAACATGGCGTCCCAAAACATGTAAGAACCCAACTTCTTATCGATTCCATTCGCACCACCGTCCTCCGACAGAGCTCGAGATGCATTGTCTTTGATCAATTTACCAATCGTGCCCACCAGGACCAAGTTGGCACCTACAAACACAAACCTCTTTGCAAACGTCGTACTCACACCAAGAATCATTCCACTGTCTACCGGAGCAACAAAGAACGTGTTTTGAATCAGCTAGCTATTCTCGAATGATGGACAGAAACAGACGCAAAACGGTACAGTAAAGGACAGTCCATGACGCATCACCTTATAACCCTAACCCTTTACCAACTTCTCTCCTCACGTCCCCCGCCGGGCTTGCCAAAGAGTGATGAGCCGCATCCAGAGTCTTTATTCACCTTTCTTGCCGCTGCAGTCCACCCTGTTGCAGCACTGGTCCCCATTCGCCCAGATGCAGTTGTTCACGTCGGCCTTGAGATCGCACGGCACCTCGGTGAACTGGAAGGCGACGCACATCTGCGGATCCTGCGAGTAAAAGGTCATGGCGGGAATCTCGGCCGGGCACGCCGGGCCGATGCCCTGGGTGAAGCCGCCCAGGCAATACTTGCCGCAGGGCCACTTGCTGATGGAGAAGTGGCCGGCGCTGGCAAAGGCCGGCGTGCGGCCGATGTGGTTGCCGTTGGCCGCGTTGTTGAGCCACTGGCCCCTGTTCGCGCCCGTCGCCAGGTCGCCGTACGTGTCGCGGATGTAGATCTCGTTCGAGGGGTTGACGGCCTGGCCCGGCGTGCACTTCTCGTCGGCGCAGAGCTGGAACTTGCCATATCGCTGGATCATGCTGTCCGGGGCGGCGTAGTAGACGTTGTCGTTGTGGAGGCCGAGTCTGTTGCCGTTTTCCGCCGTGAAGATGTAGCATTTGCCTAAGGACGTGTAAAGAGTACGGTCAGCTGCCGTTGCTTTCTTGGAATGGTACCGCACTTAGATTATGTTGCTATATGTAGGAAACATACCCGTCTCCAGGCCGGACGTGCACTTGGGCTTCGGCTTGCAGTTCCCGTCTGGACCTTCCACCATGCCCTCGGGGCAGACGCATTTGCCGCCGACGAGCACCTTGCCGTTCTTGCACACCTCCTTGCACTGGGTTCCGTCAAACTCGAAGCCCGTTGGGCAGCAGTGATAGCCGACGGCAGGGCTGCCCACCAGGTCGTGGCCATCGGCGCAGCAGTCGAATGCCGTCTGGGGGCTTCCCAGAAGATGAGTTCCCGGGAGGCAGCACGCAAAATACTTCTTGTCCGCGCTGAGAACGGGAGATGTGCCGGCCGAGCTGCAAGACCTGGTAATGGTGCAGTCCAGGCCCTCTTCGCAGTCGGGGTCTCTGTACGTGATGCTCTTGCCGTCAATCTTGGCGTCAGGCCCGACGTCATACGTGGGAACGTTCTTTTTGTAAACCTTGGCCTCGAAGAGGGAGACCTGGAAAAGAATGGCAAGGAGCGTGAGCTGGATATTCTTCATCTTGGAAGAGTTGTGATGAATGGTAAGAGTGGTTCTGATGAGTGCGTTTTGTTTCCTGTTGATGAAACCTTTGCTTCTTGTTGCAATGACTAGAACTGGATCCTGCCTTTCTTTTATACTTGAAAGAACCCTGGTATCTTTATGAGGCACGGAATAGTCCCCGCTTCCCAGTGTCGTATTATTACCGGAACACACCATTTCAGACGCTCAGTTTACATTGTTGAGTCTGTCACGAGCTACAATGTGATGGCCGAGAGACCATGAGGCGCATGATCAGCTATACACGGACGGGCTGGCATCATGTCTCATAGCCAGGACGGCTGCCCATCAGCTACGAGAGAGTCGTGCTTACCGTCGGTTCTGACTCGTTGATTTGATGCCACAGCATTTGGAGGAGACGGTCACACTTCCTAGGCTCTTCAGAGTCTGGACTTTGACTCCTCCGACTGTCCGTCATGCCATGGTGCCTAATACAGTAACCTGGCCTCGGTCGAGGCGTTTACATGACCGTATACGGCACACATCCTAGAAATAATGCGTGAGATAGATTATCCCGCAAGGTCATCAGGACATAGGAAAAGTGAGGGTCTCATCTTATCCGGTCCATCGCCAAATCCCGTTGCTCTCAAGGTGCCGACGAGGTTACACTGCGGCGGCATTGTGGCTGGCTAATAACCCCCTTCTGGCGGCATGCATTCCGACCCTGGCAGGAACCTTCCCCATGTCTTACCCAAAGCACGACGGTTTTCTGCCCTTGACAGACCATGTCTGCCTAAACGGCAGTTGTGGCGTGAGGAGATCGGCGGTTAGCCAGCATCGCCGACATGGAAGCTCCAAGGCTGTGTATGCGGCCTGGTCCCTGGATCACGGATGGCTGCTTACACACATTGCCAGCTGACATTGGTCTTGGAAATATTCGAGCGTCATCCGGCGTTGATTTTTGTGATGAGTCATGCAGCACGATGCAAACCACGATAACATTATTCAGAGAACGAGTCCATGTTTTAGTTTGTGATGGTGGCTGCCTCGTCGTCGCTCATTACAGCCACCTGACCTTCTGTCCGCTCGAGGCAGAACCATGGTGTCACTTTGTGCATGAATCTGTGGCTAAAAATAGGGCGAGTCACCGTGTTTTGAGCCAATGGCTTGTTGGCGTTTTGGTTGCCTTTTCTTGGAAGCACAATGCCACATGACTGTTGCGTATCGAACAACAAGAGACGCCATGGCCAACCAGTGTAACGAATTATAGCAACGTGCGAACCACAGAGCCGAGTTATGGGCATTATTTTCTGCTCGCCCGGCACCAACTGAAACGTGTGTGGCATGTCCGTACCCTCTTTGCCAGAAACAAAAAAGGGTCAAGTATGCCTATACGATCAAGGTATGGATGGAATGCACCACGATAGTTGGATCTTTTGCTCCCCGGCTCAACAGTTTGACGCAATAAGTGCTCGTGAAAACGGCAAAGTATCAGAATTTTTCATGCCCGATGCTGGACTATACTGGCGATATCTTGGGTCCTCTTATAGTTGAACGAAATTCAAAACCCATGCTTCTGGTGGTCAAAATCCAAAGACGATATTCAATCAGCCAAAGGCTGGTCTTATATGTGCCTTCACGCAATCCACATGACTACGAGGATCCCTCATATCAGCGTCTGGATACTATAGTATCCTTTGCCATTTCCAATGAGAACCAGTTCCAATGGATTGCCGTGACTGTGTCGCCACGTTACGTCCAACGCCCCTTAAACCACGTCTGTCTGTGTTATAAAGCTCAGAGTCTGCTTCAAATCAAGTGCTAGGACAGATAAATATATATCAAATTATCGACCATTGTAATACCTGCTCAAGAGAATATCCCAGGAGCGAAAGACCAGCAGGGTTGACGATTTTCAATTTGCAATCTGCCACTTGTCCTTGCATTGAATTGATACCACCTCACAGAAGAACAGTCACAGGAGCTGATTTCTGCTTGGAAAAATTGCTGTTCTGGGAGTCTCCCGCGTTTCCTCTTTAACTGGCAGGCCGTCAGCGTCCTGCCAACCCAGCAGTTGCCGTTTCAGCATTGACGACGGGATCTTGCAACATGTACTGCGCCCTCATCTTTGAAGATGGATTCCAAGCTCTTGTCCGAAGCCGTTTCCGCATCAAGAGACCAACGACGAGCTTTTGGTTATGGGTCATCTCGCCTGATTCACACCGATTCCGATCCCGAAACTTGCTGGCACGGGGAGATGGGGGTGCGGTCCGTACATCGCCACAACCTTTATCGTGGCATGGCCCAGATCTTGTTGGAGTTATCTAAGCCGATATTCCCGGCGACCGGACCCTGGGATGGGAGTTGGGAGTCTGGAAAGTGACCGAGAGGCTATGAACCGTCAACGTGGATAAACTTGTACGAGTTGGAACGTGCCCCCTAAAGTATTCACTGATTTCCGCTTCAGAACGGCATGTGAATACTTGCAGGAACTAGCAACACAGACTAACAGTAGCAGCGGAATAATGCCATCAAGGAGGAAATGCCTGGCTTCATTCAGGTCAACATGCAGCGGGTAGGGAGAAGACGCCGGACAGATACGAGATTTGATGAAACTGCTCATCTGTAGCTGATCAACCATGGCGTACGTAAACAGAGCTAGTGTAATACGTAGTAGTTCCTACAGACAGACAGGCCTCGCCGGACTCGGGCAATAGCCGGGCCCGCGACCGTTATGGACCAGGATATGTGAGACCTGCGTCTTCCCGGTGCTGCTTCTCCGGCCTTGACCGCGGCATCTGGCATGGGAAACAAGCAGTCGTTGCAGCCTCGCATCTTTGTACAACTGCTTCCAGAGCCTCGTGACCACTTTGTATGTCTCTGCAAAAACAGGCAACGTACATGTGCCACTGCTGTCTCAGGAGTATGCGCCAAACAAGTACAGCTGCGGGGGACGGGCCGTGTCTACCAAGTTGCTTGACTGCCGACGAGCCGACAAGGACAGAAAGAGTCGATCCATCATTTAGGCAGCCGTTGTACATACATATGTGGTCATGGGTTGACCGAGGATAGTCATCCCTAGGTTGCCACCCACGCCTTGAACCGGCAGACGAAGGGGAAACCGTCTTCGCGCTTTGCGAATACCATGCCGTGACTCAAGTCAGGCCAGATTCAGCTCTATGTGCTCGTCTTGACCAAGTCATGCCCCCGACGATGCAGCCTCGCCGGAAAGTTCCCCGTCGCGGTGCAACACGGGCTGCAAGACATGCATGATGAGCCCTCTTTGGCCGCTGTGCAGCAACCCCCTCGTCAACAACATTGACATTACACAGCATACGCAGGAGCAAGTAATAGTATACATGTACGTAAAGAAATCGGCCATGTTGCCTCTTTATGCCTTTGTTCCCCGCATCAAAGCCTCCCAGTCTCGCCAGTCATGCGGACCCGAGTGAGACATTGATGCTTCACGTATTGCCGCACAGCACAATGGATCAAGCTGCCTGGTGTCGCCGGCCGGTCTCCCTGCCGTTGTATGTGCATACATATGTTCATCGTGAGGCGGTCCGGGGACCCGAAACGGCAACAATATCACCAATGTCACATCAATACTACACATGCCTCGCGTCCCGCGTCATGCGAGGCTGTTGCGCCACCGCTCACCCGGTGTCTCGGCATCATGGCAGACGGACCAATCTCCTTCTCCCCTCGTTTCGTCCGGCGGGTGATTGCAACTCTGACGGACGAGTACAAGTCCCTATCCCTATGCGCCTCGTCTCAACCAGGCCCAATGCACCCCGGCGGCCTGTCGCTGCTCGGGCTTCGCTGTGCCACCAAGCTCCGACGCACACTTGGAGCCCGTCCTCTTGCACCCAGGGGGGCAGCCGGTGCCTCTGGTGTATTGCCACTTGAAGTACGGATCCGTCTCGTTGGCCAAGACGCCCCCGGCGATGGCTGTCGTCCCCGCCGGCAGCTCGGTCGTGTACTTGAACAAGTCGCGGGCGGGCAGGGTCATGATTTCCCAGTTGTAGGCTCTGAGCGACCGGATTGTCGTGCCGAAGACGAGCTCTTTGAAGCCGGACCAGCGAATTGCCGCCGCGCACATGGGGCATGGCTCCGCGTTGGTGTACAAGGTGAGGTCGGCCCAGGCGTTGAGGGCCTCGTGGCCGGACAGCTTGTACGCGCCGCGGGGATCTGTGAGGATGGCGGTGCAGTTTTTGATTGCGGCCGTTTCTCCTGGCTCTCGGTGGTGAGCTGCATTCTTGTTCTTCATGGGGAGGGGGTTATTACCGTGAAGGGTTGGGTTGCCGGACTCGATGTCGTTGGCTCCGATGCAGACGAGCTCCCCCAACCCGCCTGCTGTGTGGTTCACAATGACGGTTCCGAAGGCCTCTGTAGGACATGGATTTCCCGTGACCTCGAAGAGCGCAGCATTGGCCCTTCTCATCCAGTAGTGTCGCGTCTCGATGGGGAGGTCGTGGATGGAAGAGGCTCTGCTTGGCTTCGCAGTGACGAGGCCGGTGGCCATGGCCGTGGTTAGATAGTAGATGAGGGTCTGCATCTCTCTGATACTTTCGATTGCGACAAAAGGCCTTGAACTGGAAGAAAGGGAAAAGGAAAAGAGTTGTGGAATCCAACGCAGGTTTGCCTGAGATCAAGGTTGTAACTTGGATGAGCGGCGGCCCGCAAGCGCAGATGAATCCCGAACCGGAAATGCATCGACGGTCTGGTACTTGATGTGATGGCCGCAGCCCATGAGCTAATAATTGTATGAGTGCGACTTTGCGTAATGACGTGACACGATGCGACATGCACTGCGTCATCATAGACGCTGTACACACTGCACGCCCGTGGAATTTCCGATTTGTGCTTCAACGCTCTCAATGGAGATAAGATGCTCATTACCTAACGGTAAGAGGTCGACGGTGCTGAGGGCGCGACAAGAAGACGCAACACGGGCGCTATTTGTAAACAATTGTAGCCGTCATATTTTTCCTGGTTCAGTCCAGAGAAGTCAATTCTTGGATAGCGGCGGAGTCGGTGATTCTATCACGTTGCGAATTCCCCTTGTCCCGAGGGTATAACTCTGCGTTTATTGAGGGGCATGGGCTCAATTTTTCTACACTTGATTTACATGTCACACCAGGAGATCGTGCCTCAGATCAACAACTCGAAAACCAAGCTTATCGCGAATCCACATGCTTCGCAGATGACTTGCTGCTTCAATAACTGCTTCAGAAACATTGTTCACAGAGTTTCCCATTCAGCCTCTCTAGCCTCTTCCTCATCACTTATCATATCCCAGACATCAATTCCGTCTTGTTCAGCCCTATTACGTGGCCGAGGTCGTGGCCAAAATGGAGGCGGCGTTTTCGGAGGCGACGGGGGGGGACTTGGCTGCGGGTCGTTGTCATCAGCGCCACTGGTCCAACTTTCATCTGACATGGTCCTTTGCGATTCCTGAATGGGACCTAGTATACCGTTGATCACATTTATCAGCGCTTGGGGGGTGTTTTCGTGTTCGCTCGCGTCAAGCATCGAGAAGAATGTATCATGTGAGACGGCGGAACTTGAACCAGAGGAACTTGAAACTTCGATGGAGTCAGGAAATTGAGACCCAAACATTTTGCTCAAAATGACGTGCAACGTACTCGAAAAGATGGAATTTAGCGTATCATAGGGGCTAGGGACAGTAGTGTCGGAGGCTTCCATGTTGGCTGCAGTCATGTCCGAGCCGCTGCCAAACTTGACATGGGTGCCTGGATTGTTGGGGATTTGAGATTGGCTGTTGTATTCCTTGGAACTTGAAGGATCATGCAGGAGGCATTATATACACAAGCCTGTGATGGATCGATGAAGCATCAGGTGGAAGTGGGAGAAATTCATGTCAGCGGTGATGATCAAACTGCAGCTGCCTCACACATGATGATAATCACCTAAACACGGCGGTACCACGTTTGCTCCATCATTTTCTTCTTTTGTACCACCATGTGTTATATACTAGGGCATGTTTTTTTTAATCTGGTTGTGGAATTAAAAGTCTCGAGTAGTAGTATTTATTTCTGTTCGTCTCGAGTAGTGGTATCGAACAGAAACAAAAACCACCACTAGAGAATTTTAATTCCACAACCAGGTTAAAAAAAACATAGCCCGATACATATTATTCTTCGCACCATAAGAAACGATCTATTTTGAACAAAGATGAACTCACTGTCTGTGCAAACGATGGCTCTGATGCATCCATGTGTACTTCTGTCCAACCATGGCCCAACTGTATTCACAACTACAGGTTGGCGAGGGCCGTACGCCGCCCAACGTCGACGTCGGCCATCCTGCATCTGCCACTGTGACGAGGGTCTAACGAGGCTCGGAGCATCAAGGTTCAATTTCAAAGATGATCTCAAAGAGTGTCAAAAGCCCTTGGTTTCCTAAGAGGAAGGAAGGGAGCAGTGATTACTATATATACAAGAAGGGAACGCGTGAGCCTAGGGCCCTTACCCGGGCACGTGTTCAATCTGTGTAACCAACAGGTCCTTTATCGGCGAAGCCCCTTTGTTGGGCTTCACGATCTGTTGGGCCCTTTCCGTGTAACAGCCACTGTGATAGCTCACAACACCAACCACACTGCATATCAGCCATACTGACATATGAGAAAATGGGAGCTCCTCAGCTTCACACACACACATCATAGTGATGAGGGCCGATCAATGAAAAAGCGTTTTATTAAATGCGACTGCGCTCACCAGGCCTGCGCCATGCCCCGAACGCTGTCATCTCACCCACGGGGTCTGCAAGCACACCGGCACTACATGATCAGTTCAGCCAGTAGTTTGTACATGTCCGGTCCTTCAAAGAAACCTACATGTAAGGTATCGATCCATTTCGGTGCCCGACCAACCCAGCAGCGCAGTCACACCGGCGCTTGCTCACCGTCCAGCCGCCCCGATTCGCTCTTCACGCAAGAGGGGTAAGCAAGAGGCGCATGATTCAATGTTTGATGTTACGTCAACCGAAGCTCTTCACCTCACTCATTGGATCCGTGCCCCGTGGCTCCTTTTCACTGCATCGCGACACAAGCTCGTCATGTAAATCCGTGGTTAACAGCGCAAGCCTCCACATATCAGCAACTTCGGCCCCTAGTCCACAACGCACGTCTAGGTATTGTCTTTTACTTTTTCTCCATCAGAAGAAAAGGGAAATGGGCGGGGAGGGAGAGGAACTACTTTATTTAACATATGATTCGTATAACTGGCTCTACGTCAGCGTTGCGTAAAGCCTGCCAGACTCCCTGAACGATGGCGTGGGGGTTTGTCTCAGGATCCCACCATCTCGAGATGTCTCGTCAATATCGCTGCATAAATGTCTCTCGCCCTCGTTTACTGGCGGGCTTCGAGACGCAAAGCCAATTGGTAGCATCCAACGTCTTTCATGACATGGCCGGAGGATCATTTTGCCACAATCACCACCTTTTGTAGTCGATAGTCTGACATTTCGACAACCAAGACTCCCAGAAGGACCATTATCTCAAGGGGAAAAAAATAAAAATAAAAATACTAGAGTTGAAATGAAAGCAGCAGCTCTTCATCAAGAGCGCCACGTCTGGGGCAAGCGGTGGAGGTCGTCGACAACATTCGGTGTTGTGTGCATTTCGATTTCTCTATTCGCAGGTACGTCACGCCCGCTCTACGCCACGGCTCGCTTCTATTTTCGATGTATTTAGGACGAGACTGTTTTATACTGAGCCTTCCAGAATGAATCATCCACTAACTCTGCACTTTGTGTTGTTCAAACGCTAGAAAGCTTCCTCTACAGCTTCATTATTCCCATCTTGCCTTATATGCTGGAAGAGCGAAATCATGTAGATCCATCGGATATCCAACGGCTTACTTATCAAATCCTGACTCTCTACGGGGTTGTTTCACTCGTGTCTTCCATCTTCATCGGGCAGCTCGCAGACTTGGCCACGACGCGGAAGATGCCACTGGTGGCGGCTTTAGTTGTTGCGATTATCGGAACTTTGGCCGTCGCCGCAGCGACAGATGGTATGCCGCCACGGTCTTCTCATCTTTTTAATAAAATATTCTAATACATGGTTTTCTTATTAGTCTCGGTGATTTACGTTGGCCGAGCGCTTCAATCCATTGGCGCAACAGCAGCATGGATCGTCGGCGTGGCCACCCTACGAGCCTCAGTCGGCGCTGAGCACATGGGCAAGGCGTTTGGGTTCATGTACAGCTGCATAAGTATAGCAGAGCTCTTGGGGCCCGCCATTGCAGGGGTGTTGCTCTCTCTCACCGGCTACTGGATGGCTTGGGGGAGTGTGTTTGTCGTTGTGACGATGAATATCGCAATGAGGCTCGTCATGATAGAGGGTTCTGACGCCAGCATCGCCCATGAGGATTCCGACAACACGGCCCAAGTGCCAGACGAAGAATCGCCCTTGATATTTGGCTCGAACGACCAATCAGATGGTGCATCTGAAGAAGCTTCCATGGAAGAGCCTGCGGCTACGGCAGCGACCGCATTCTTTAGGGTCGTTCTTACGCAGAGAAGGGTTGTTATTTCTATGTTGTGTTCCATTGTCCATTCTATTATGGTCGCCAGCTACGGCACCACCATTCCCACCCATGTCAAGTTTGCATTCGGATGGGACAGCTTACCGACTGGTCTGCTGTTTGCGCTCCTGCAGCTTCCCATCATTCTTTCCAGCCCTGTCTATGGCTGGCTGAGGGACAGAGTCGGTATAAGAAAGCCCACGGCTTTTGGATTCGCCTCGCTGGCTCCCCTTTTGTGGCTCCTCGGTGCTGCAGATCAGAAACAGTTTCCGTGGGCTTCTTCCGAGGCTTCTGCCAAATTCACATATGTGGCAGCAGTTGTCGGCATAGGATGTGTCATGAATCTGACAAGCACTGTCAGCGCCTTTGAGATTACCTGTAAGTAGAACGTCATACCATGGCCTTCATGATAACAGACTAGCATAGGCTGACCCGGGCTACTCGGAAACATGCAGGCGTTGTGGACGAATTTGAGTCCAAGCAGCCTGGCATATTCGGGCCTGGCGGGGGCTATTCGAGATGCTACTCGCTTTCCAATCTGGCCTTTGCGGCAGGTTTGCTGCTTGGGCCTCTCCTGTCCGGGGCCTTGGCCGATTCTGTGGGTTACTATCTTATGAATACGATTTTGGGCAAGTAATTACCTCTATTTATCGATACCCCATTTTCTGACAGAGTCAGCTTGCCTTTGTGTCGGCATGTCCTTTTTGGCATATACCCTCTTAGGAGACAAATCCACCGTCGTGAGTGAGGCCAATAGCGGTGAATAGTTGCGCGGATTGCATGGCATCCTTGACATCTAGCCGATACTTGGTAATATCGACAACAGCCCCAAATCCATCAACGACAACTAATATCTATCGACAACTACCAATATATATTACATCTCTTTTCCGGAATACCTTCTTTTTGCATCTCAAGACTTGTCATGAGAACCTCCCATGCTGAGCTTCACATGCCACCCTGTAGGTGCAGTCTGCGATACTCTACACTTCACCTAGTTATGAGACTGAGAGGGGCGGCTGCCTCGGGAAGATTTCGCAATAGTCAAAAGGAGGCGCATTTCTAGTGTTAACTCGCAACAAACTCTGTGAAAAAGAATAATCCTAGACTGTCGCCAGACATCAGAGCGCAGAATGCATAAGTAAAGATGCAAAACATGTGATTCTGTGATCCCCACTCCATTCCCCGGACCCCTCGTGTTCGTATTCGCATTGCCATGAGGACTCTCTGCCAATCATCCGCATCCATTCTGTCAACCTACTATTGAATCTACCAGGTCTCCCCAGAGGCTCGGACCCGATTGATTTCTATGCAAATGGCAGATGTTTCGCATTCGTTTTCATTTGAACCGCTCTGATGGGAAGTCTACAAGACCCCTCATTTTGTTCCGATGCTGTCGACTCGCCATGCCGAGGCTTTGTAACGTCCGACGATGCATATGGCGTTTCGTCTTTCTCGATTACTACTACCGTGGGAGGCAGATTAGGTAAAATTTTGTCCCAGGCCGGCCTCTATTGAGGACTTTGCCTTGGTAAATAATATGGGTGAATGGAGACTGAAAATGTCACCGAAGCTCCGTTCCAAAGGACCTATAAATTCTACCACCACATACGGGACAAAGTAATACCATCAGTCATGAAGCAAATAAACCTTGGAAAAACGTACCATCATGACTCTTTGGAGAACCATGTTTGTCGAGTTTTTGAGCAGTTGCGCTACACTATGGGCACTGCTTAACAAGCTGTCATGGCCAGCCATCTTCCTGATAACACTTATACTTTACGTCTTGACATGCTCCCTTTTGCGGTTCAGGAGCCTTCGATCTATGAAATCCCGATTCAACTTTCCTGATAGGGCGTCCTTGGCTCGGATGACCGGTTCAGAAGCGCAAGCAATCATCGAACATGCTTATACCTACGAGTTCCCTTTATTCTTTGGCCTCTCATTGGCATATGCGCAGATGAAGGTAAGAAGAAACATTAGTCGTGTATACTTGACTCTCTGACTGTTTTAGACGTATGCCATTCAAAACATTGCAAAACTTCTAGCCGCGACAGGTAATCTTTCCAAACAGAGCAAAGTGTCCAAGAGGTAAGCCGGAGTGACAAACCCGCCTTTGCGAGACTTAAGCCCTAACGCCGCCTCAGGTTCGAAGACACGGCACTCATTTTTGCCTGGTAAGTCGAATGGATGTCCTTTTCTCTCCCCCAGACAAACATATGGCGGTACTGATGCCTCTAGTTTTATGCTCTTCCCCCCGGATTCCCCCCAGCTTCACGGCGCGGTGGCTCGAATGAACTACCTTCACGGCCCCTACATTCGGTCGGGCAAGATCCAAAACGAAGATCTATTATACGTCCTGTACGCGGCTATGAGCGAGCCCGTACGATTCATCCGATTGTACGAATGGCGGGAGCTTTCCATGTTCGAGATTGCCGCGCAGGGTACTCTTTGGAAGACGGTCGGCGACATGATGGGCATCAACTACACCGAGGCCCTTGGCAAAGACAACTGGAAAGACGGACTCGAGTTCATGGAACAAGTAGAGCAATGGGCGCTACACTACGAGACTGATCGGCTTCGACCGTCGCATCCTAGTCGGCAACTGGCAAACGCCCAGCTCGACCTCCTCACATCCATATTTCCCAGCTTCATGCGTTCTTTGATGCGGCAAATGGGTCTTGTCATGATGGGTGACAAGATGCGTTGCTCGTTTGGGTACGTCAATGTCACTAGTGAACCATGATGCAGCTGTCTGACTTCATGTGGCCAATAGCTTTCCGGAACCAAGCACGGCGATTTCGGCACTTACCCTCACTCTTTTATGGCTGCGGCAAATCATGATGCGCTTCTTCATGCCCCCTCGACCGACCAGCCGTCGCTACGTCACGGACCCCGATCCCATAACGGGTCGCATGTACAGCACTCACTATGTCAAGGAGCCGTGGTATAATCGACCGACTACATGGGCACGCTGGGGTCCCGCGGCATGGGCGACTTGGGCGTTTGGCGGCATGTTGCCTGGTGATGGCGGTCAGGAGATGAAGCCTGATGGGTTCTTGTTCGAGGATATTGGGCCAAAGGCAAAAATGGGCTTGGGTGCCGAGGAGACGAGGAACATACAGGAGGTTGTTCATGCAGCTGCCATGGCTTCGGGACGGTGTCCCTTTGCTTTGAAAGAATAGGAGCGGCGGGCTTTGCCATTTTGGTTATTCAACGTGGAGCAACTTGCGACATTCAACGAGTTTAAGTTGTAGATGTGGCACTTTAGTTGGATCCTCTGCCCCTAGTATTGAAACTGAAGATCCATATCAAGCTTGAAATGGTGGCTACAAGTTCCTGAATAGTGCATGCTAAATTGCGTGCGTCGTTTACACTCGTCCATGTTTCCACCATGTTGTCATAGCAGCAGCTAGTTTCCTAAACTTCAATTCTACACGAGTTTGGAAACTCTGCGGGCAACGATGCACAAATTCTTCAACTGGGAAATCAAGCGTGGTAAGTCACTACATAAAAAGCAATTGTGAAATATCTCGGCGCCATATATCCGTCATCTCAAACACCACAGCGCGACGTTCCGGCCACAAGAAAGAACACCCGAGTTTCAGGATGCATACCCGCACAGAATGTCTAGCGCCGCAGCAAATCACCTCATGGCAGCATGACCACTTTGATTTGTCCCCGTGCCGCGCCTCAATTTCACCCAAAACACTTGGAGAGCTACCGGGAATGCGCGTGGTCTCTGGAATGCAGCGCCGAAGGCTGGGAACATGACGTCCAACGACATGGCTAGCCGGCTACCACGAAAAAAAAACTTTTTCAAAGGGGGGAATTCCTCTCGTTGCAGTGTCTCAGTCAATTAGTGGAGTGGTGACGAATTGCCGCCAAAGTCTGGCCTTCTGATACCATCTCTGCAAGTGGACTGAGACAAGTAGCAAAGAGCTCCTTATCGTCGTGCTCCGTGGTAGCTCGTAAAACGGTCAGGCAAGACATGCGGAATGGCGAATGACCAGCCTGGATGTCACGGACGAGCCTCCGGGAGGTTGTTGAAAAGTCCGATATAAACCATTTCCCCCTGGTACTCCTTCTTTTTTGTTTGCAGCCGGTATCCATGAAGTTGCTACAACACTATGGACCAACCAAAGGTCATCGACGATGAAAAGCAGCCCTACGTTGCTCACGACATATTCGTCGCGGGTAATAACACACCGTCGTTATCCTCATACTCGTCCCATCCGTCGTCTCGCACTGCGTATGACGCTCACAGCCATCATGCCAACGAGCAACATGACTCGACTACGGGCCCGAATTTCGACTTTGACCCTCCTGATGGCGGATGGAGGGCTTGGTCTCAGGTCCTTGCCGCCAACCTCGCCAATGCTGTATCCTGGGGCTACGCTGCTACATTTGGAGTATACCAGCTGTATTATGTTGACACAATGGGCCTAGAGGCATCACAGGTATCTTGGATTGGGTCAGTCCAGGTATTTCTTGCATTTATTGTCTGTGGCCCATCCGGCCGCATTGCCGATGCTGGCTACGCCCACGAGATTATCATTGTGGGCTGCTTCTTCGTTGTGCTGGGCTCTTATATGACGAGCTTTTGCTACGAGTATTGGCAAATCATGCTCGCCCAAGGGGTTTGCACGGGGATTGGTCTCGGCGTCATTTCTACACCTGCCGTCGCCATCACCAGCTCGTACTTTAGCACACGCAGATCACTGGCGCTGTCCATGTCAGCCATGGGAACCTCCGCGGGGGGTGTTGTCTTCCCGGCGATAGTGCAGTACCTGATTCCTCAGGTAGGGTTTAGCTGGGCTACCCGAGTTGGTGCTCTGGTTGCGCTCATATTTTGTATAGGAGCCTGCGTGCTCCTGAAGCCGTACATCCCGGGGCGGAAATCGGGCCCCTGGGTTGAGTGGGCAGCTTTCAAAGAGATCCCTTATGCATTATTTGCCGCTGCAGCGTTTTTGAACTTTTACGGCATGTACTTTGGACTTTTTTATGTGAGCATACCCGTTTCTCTATATGCTCGCGGGCTTCTGGAGGAAGTTGAACTAATGCGGACCAAAACAGATTAATAGCTTTGCGCGCAACGTCATTGGATTTTCGTCTGTCGAATCTGTAAGCTTGCTGCTGATTACGAATTCCATCGGCCTCCCGGTCCGACCGATTATAGGATATGTGGCAAATACGCATGTTGGACCGATTAATGTTTTCATCATGGCCACTGCGTTTGTAGGCGTCATGCTGTTTATTTGGACGACGATAACTACACGGGCGAGTATGTACGTGTTCAGTGTCTTTTACGGCCTGGCTGTCAGTGCCAATCAAAGCACCTATGTTCCATCACTGGCGAGTTTGACTCGGGATCCGCAAAAGATGGGGATCCGATTCGGCATGATCGAAACATTATGCGCTTTTTCTACCCTAGCCGGCCCTCCTACGGCGGGGGCAATCATTGATCGAACGGGCAGTTATGCCTTGGCTCAGATTTGGGGCGGATCAGTAATGCTGGCTGCTGCATTAACTCTGGTGGCGTCGCGAGTATCTATTACCGGCTGGAAGTGGAAAGTCTTGATATGACTGCCGAGGTCGAGGCCAGGGACGGGAAAGACAGGTGCAGAGAAGATGTGTGTACACGAGTGTCTTTGGACCCAGGTCAACCGAATACGGGGATAGTAGCAAGATTATCCCAATTCTACTTGTAAGAACTAGACTCTACACTTACACTTAGGTTTCCTTGATTGTATTTTATATTATTATAGTGTATAAGTTATAGAGTATTGCTCAAAATAGCGTTCTAATAGATCTGTCTTGTTGTAACTTTTAGAAAGGCTAAAGCTATGTGGCTGTCTCACGTATAAAAATGCTTTAGGTGTCACACTGTTGGACGAGGGCTGCGATCAGGTGCGCTAGGGCAGAAGACTCTCACCGACTTCTTACATTTAAAGAGCTTTTTGGTCCATTTAACCATTGAGGAAAACCAAACACTGTTATTGGATGAATTGAGTTATTACTCCAAGCGCTCACTCAGACCTTATTGCAATAAAGGTGGCAAAGATGACCTGGAGGAGCAGTTGCATGTTGCTATTGTTGCCCTTGATAATGGGGCCAATGCAGGAGATCTAAAATGTGAATGTGGATTAGGTCTCTTGCTTCGAATCATGCATTGAATTTCTGAACTCGGATAAGAGCTTTTTTCTCGCCTTTATTATCGATTAGGGAAGACTCGGCAAGAAAATTCGATTACAGAGTGGCGCTCTTTTCTCGCGGCTTATGCCGATATTCAATATACGGTGCTTAGCACTATTCTCTATTGGAAACTTGTTAGACCAGTTTGCGGAGGTCACATTATGAGAGCCAGGGGTAGTTAAATTTAATACAACGAAACGGGGACTGTGGAGTTATCGAGGTTGTAGTTCAGTTGCGGGATTGGATGAAAGAAATGTCAATAGGGATGTCTTGTTCTGCCTCGGTTTTGAGTCGTCCGTATTTTGCGATTGCTTCTGAGTTTGCCCTAATAGCTTCCAGGTCAGTGTGACCAATATTACATGGATCGTAAGCTACTCAAGGTGCGTAATATCATGGCGTCTTTGGAGGCCGCAATACAATAGCCCACATTTCCACTTTTGAGAAACCTACGGGATCGTATAAACACCAGAGGGCCCAAGAGGGTCAATGTAACCTATAATGGTGTTGAAACATCTTGCCCCCAAAGCTATGAGAAAAGAAACTTACACGTAGCTGGGCTTGATGTGTATAAGCTCTGAAGTCTCCTGACATCAGTCCAGATCAGTTCGCTCATTCAAGGCAAGCAAAATACTATGTCAAGAGCATGCAAGAGTTATTTCCCAAGTGGCAATAAAAAATCAATCGTACTACTGCTACCTAGCTTCCTCGTACTAATCCTGAGGGTTAAGCAGTGTTTGCAGTCGCGGAGGCGCTGGTCATGACGCACGTTGGAACGGTCCAAGCCAAGGATATTGACAATTGCAAGGCGCTTGGGTTTGGCAGCTTATGTAACAAATTATGATGGACCGAATTCAACCGAAGCCGGCATAGCTTAGTGGTAGAGCGTTGCACTTGTATCCAATATCTCCACGATATGCAAAGGTCGCTTGTTCGAGTCAGGCTGTTGGCATCCTTTTTGTACTTTTCGTTTTTTTTTTCTCTCTCCCTTTTACTCATGGATCTTCTACGTCACGGTTCGCACTGTTCTCCCTCTTTTTTTTTTTTGCCCTGAGGCGTAGCCAAGCCGCAGACTCCCAAGTCTAACCCGACACGCCTCGTCTTATCTGATAAGTGATTCGAACAAACTCTTCTATTTTTTATCCCAGAAATAAAGAGGGGCATTACTGAAGCGGGCGTCATAACCTGAATCGACCAATTCTTATCGCGGGTCTCGGGGCACACTGCATGTTTCCGCGTCTACAAAACATTTACACCATTGTTCCACCAGCAAAGAGCTACCAACATCAACCGTCATCCATTTTGAGGGTCTCGAAAACGATGCTTTAGTGGTCCATGCTTTTACTTGGTGTGGTTAAAAAGCTGTCGGTGATAGTTTTCTCGGCGATATAGAGAATTAGAACTCTAGGTTGGGAAGAGATTCCGCTGGAATCCGAAGCAGTGGCAGATGTAAAATAAATATATCCCATAGTGTCTTCAATCAGTTTGCCGTTGATTCTTTCCCCCGAGGGCTACATCATCACAGCCTTTTATCTTACGCTTCAGGCCCCAGCCCGGACGCAGGCCGGTAATTCGTTCCAAAATAGACCAGACTTCCCACTACCGGAACCACCACCGCAGCCAACGTCATCATTGCATTCTGAATCCGGGGCTTCAACCAGTCACCAACCTTCCTCCTGAAGTTCTCCTGGATGTTAGGACTGGGAAACGGCTGGTCGGGGATGGGGAGATCTAGGAACGCGCAGATTTGTTCCCAGCCGAGACCATCTTCGAGATGGGAAAACAGGAGCCGATCGGCGGGGAGGACGCTCTTCGCCATTTCGATGCTACAGTCCTGAGGTATGAACCTGGTGACGAAAAGGCGAGAAAATAGGGCCGCCGTGGGGAAACTCACTAAGAAACATAATTGCGCCGCATGGCCGCCTTGTTGTCCCTATCCCCAGGAACAGTGCCGTCGGCAATCGCCCCATAAATAACCTTGTTCAAAGTGAGAAATTTGTGCAAATCCCTACTGAAATACTGCAACACATTCAGCGGGAAGTGGTTCATCTTGGTGATAACCTCGCCGACCGTCTTGTTCACAGAGGTCACCCATTTATCGGGGTCGCGGTCGCTCAAGATGAACTTGATGTTCGGGTCGTCGGCGTAGGCTTTGAGGAGTCCTGGGCCCAGGAAATACGGAATTTCGACGAGGCACTGTAAAAACAAAATCAGGCCACAGGAAAGGATCATGCAGCAAGAGGACGTAGCTTCATACATCATATTCAGCCAGCCACTTATCGAAGTCTGGTCTGCTGTACCGCTTAACGCCTGAGGAGGGGCTATATTGCGCCCGGATAGCCTCGGCGAGAATCTCCATGTGCAGCACTCCGCCTTGATAAAGACACTCTTTCATGTGGAATGTCTTGTAGCCCAGGATCGTCATGGCCTCGTATACGCTCCGCGTTCCCGTTCTAACCCGTAAGTCAGCCTCACTCCTCTCCTGCTACTATTTGCCACTAGTGATAAGAGTCATACCTGCTTGCCGTTGCCACAATGACCTTGACCTGCGCCCTGGTCTTGGGTGGAGGCAGCTTATCAACTGTTCGCGACATGGCCAAGGCGAACAGCGGTGTTTGTTCCCCAGCCACGAAAGGTTGCCAACGATTGTCATTATTGAATGATCAACATGGGGAGATCAGAAGTGGGATTATGCTGCAACTATCTTGAATAAGATCCGATGGCGAATATGACTAATGCTGAATTTATACGCGAAAGGGGCTACCTACACCGTTGCATTGCAGCAATGCATCGCACAATTCGGCTGCACATCTATTGTACAAACCGTGGCATAATGTTTTATACCGGCGGCTCGTCGGGGGAACCCGACCATGCGATGATTTCAAATTTCATTGGACCAGGAGGCGCGCGCTAGTAAGCTGACAACTGAGACAGTTCAAAGAGGCGCTGACGATTTTGGGCCAAGGGCGCCACGACTGGTGCTTATTTACTGATAACATCAATAAGTTATGTGTCAACGTACTCCAATAAGAGTTGGACCACGCCTGTGCAGTATAAGCCAAAAACAGTGGTTTATGCTCACGATATCTTCATTGAGGCCGTCCATGGTATCTAGTGCGGAACCAATTCTCAAGAGCTTTTGGAGTGATTTGAAGCCTAGCAGAGATACTTTGAGACCTTCTGCGGTAGATACAAGAAGGTAAAAAGAACGTATATTGGAAGAAATGTTTAAAAAACATTAAAACATATCCGGTGTTGACAAGATGATGATCTAGTATAGTAGTGCTACTGTTAGGGCAATATCGTTTGACAACTTGGCCGTGGACTGTAGTTGTATGTCAAATAGGTTTGAAACCAGCTTCAAATTGAAAGCCTATTTCGCTAAAACGGCCCTGTGCCGTGCAGTGGCTGGACATCAGCCACATCACTTCCAATGCACAGGGCGGAGTTTGGCCTCGAATTAGGAAGGACAAACAACAAAAGCCAATTGAATCGGTTCCTTTCTTTATTTGCGATAATTCAACAAATATCGACTCTACAGACGCAGCCCTCCAGGTTGCTGCAAAGGCCCCATCACGTGGAGTGGTGTCAACATCGAAACCGACCGGCGTGGGGAAGTGGGACGGCATGCATGTACGTACATACATACATAATTGACTCTATTCATCTGTATTCATCCTGACGCCATTGGTTTTCCCCTTTTTGAGTAATTGCCCCGAGGCTTGAATTTCCCCAAGAGGCCCAAGATGCGCTCATCAATCATTGCGTCTCTGGCGCTGGTGCCGTGGGCAACGTGCCACCAACAGCCATTGAAGGACGCGAAGCACCGTGTCCCAACCTCACACCACACAGTCACGACCGCAGCACCCTCATATCGCCAGGAACTGCTCAGCCTACACAGGCAACTCATCTCAATTCCCTCCATCTCGGGAGACGAAAACGCCGTCGGCAACTTCCTCGTCGACTACCTCACTGCCCGCGGGTACCATGCCGACCTCCAGCCCGTCGCGGCCAGAGACGGCACGCCCCCCAACAAACAACGCTTCAACGTCCTTGCGTGGAAGGGCGAGAGAATCCCCTCGGCCAAGGTAGTTGTGTCCTCGCACATTGACGTCGTGCCCCCGCACATTCCATACTCCATCTCCCCCGGCGAAATCACGCCCGAAACCATGATCAAGGGCCGCGGCTCCGTCGACGCCAAGGGCAGCGTGGCGTCCATGATTGTCGCGCTGGAGCAGCTGCATGCTTCAAAGGAAATTGCCAACCGGGGAGACGTGATGCTCCTCTTTGTGGTGGGCGAAGAAGTGGCCGGCGACGGAATGGCCACGTTTAGCGACTCGCTGTCCAGGATGGAGGAGCCGCCCAAGTTCGACGCCGTCATCTTTGGTGAGCCTACCGAGAACAAGCTTGCGTGCGGCCACAAGGGCGGGCTGTTCTGCGACATCACCGCCCGTGGTGTGCCGGGTCATAGTGGGTATCCGTGGCTGGGCAAGTCGGCAAACGAGCTGATGGTGCGTGCCTTGGCCAAGATTCTGGATGCCGACCTGGGCAGCTCGGAGCTTTTTGGAAACACGACGTTTAACATTGGCCGGTTCGATGGCGGTGTGGCGGCTAATGTGATTCCTGAGAAGGCAGTGGTCAAGTTTGCCGGGAGGGTGGCCATTGGGCCCGAGGACAAGGGGCATGAGATTGTGACGAGCAAGATTCAGAGGATACTGGATGAGGTTGACGACGAGGCGTTTGACATGGACTGCACGCACGGCTATGGGTCGGTCGAGTGCAACTGCGAAGTTGACGGTATGTTTCCCAAGAGGTATCTGCTCATGGGGGCATTTACTAACCCCCCTCGTCGTACAGGATTCGAAAAGATTACAGTCAATTACGGCACGGATATTCCCAACCTGGCTGGTGATCACACGAGGTACTTGTACGGTCCTGGCAACATTCTCGTTGCTCATGGCGCGAGGGAAAACTTGACGGTTGCGGATTTGGAAGAAGCCGTTGAAGGGTATCAGAAACTAATTGTCCATGCGTTGAAGCAATAACGTCAGGGGATCACAGCAAGTGGCTGTGGAAGACGGGCTCAATGCTATACGCGCTCATAATCTAATGCGGTGACACCCCCCCAAGTCGTATCCATGTCGTTTCAAAAAAAAAAATCACACTTTTACATATCCAACTCCCACATGTGCACTCAACTTCCCATTACTTCAATCCATCACTATCACACCCCAGCCACTTTTGCCCACCGTTCTGGCATTATCTTGCTAAAGTCGAATTTGCCATCGGGTCCCTTCTCGACTGCCCCCTTTTCAGTCACCACGGCATCAATCAACTCAGCTGGCGTAACATCAAACGCGGGGTTCCACACCTCGATTCTCTGATCGGCCGTGGCAACTCTGACCTTTGTGCTCTCATCCACCTTGCCATCAGCCTTGATGACAGCACCAGTCACCTGGGTCAGCTCCTCCCGCTTGCGCTCCTCAATCTTGATGCCATTTCCCGTTTCCGTCTCCAGATCGATGCTGGTAGTCGGCGCCGCAACCAAAAACTTGATGCCGTGGTGCTTCGCGAGCACGGCCAGTTGGTACGTCCCAATCTTGTTGGCAGTGTCACCGTTCCGAACAACTCGGTCGGCGCCGACAATGACAGCCACAATGTTCTTCTCAGCCTTCTTAGTGCGAAATAGGGATGCGGCCATGGAATCAGTAATCAGGGTGCTGGGGATGCCTTCATAGACCAGCTCAAAGGCAGTGAGGCGACTGCCTTGATTGTATGGCCTGGTCTCAGTACAGAACGCATGTCGTAGTTGGCCATTTGCCTGCAGGGTTCGAATAATGCCAAGTGCCGTTCCGTGGCCGGATGTTGCCAGCGAGCCGGTGTTGCAATGTGTGAGAACGGAAACGGTGTTATCTGATGTCGCGCCAACTTGCGTCTTGAGCCACTCGGCGCCGTAATCCCCGATGGCAAGGTTTGTCTTGAGGTCCTTTTCAAAGATGTTCTCGGCTTCTTCGATAAATCCCTGGATAATAGACGCCTTGGTTTCACCAGACGTGCGTATCCGCGCCTTGAGCTGGTTAATGGCGTTGGTGAGATCGACGGCGGTGGGACGACTCTGCTTCAGATAGTCAAGCGCTTCGTCGATGTGGGCAATGACTTGCTGAGGCGAGTCAGCAGCTACGGGGCCATTGAATAGCTCAACGGCAAGCCCAAGACTGGCGACGATGGCAATGGCAGGGGCGCCACGGGTTCGCATCGAGGCAATGCTGTCGAAGGCTTCCTGGCGGGTTGAGACTTGGTCATAGTGGAATTCGTGCGGGAGGCGGAGCTGGTCAAGGACCTCGAGCTTGCCGCGAGAATAGCGGACAGCTTGAAGGGTGGACATGGCGAATCTTTGAAACACCTTGATCACAAATGCAAAGAGGAAATGAAAGCGGCCTGCCAGATGTTTTGTTGCCCCTCCACATCTCCAGATCTTTCCAGGTTGAACAATTCTGCCGCCACCCCGCCATGGCGTCAGCGCGTACCGACACCAGACAGCTTGACATCTGGAGGTCCCAGCCCGATTTATTGGTGCACGCGCAACGGTCGACCAATGATGGTGCTTCAGTAGTGCACCGTGCTGCTCTACGGCGCCATGAGCTCTCACCGCCCGGCCTTTGACCAGACATGGACTGCACCACGTGTGATACTAGAGCTGCCAGGGACCTGCATGTGGTACCAAAAAGCCACACTGTCTCGAGTATTCCGAATGTCGACTCTTGTGCATCGGCGCATTCAGCCTCGTCCTTAGACATCGCCTTCACATGATAAGATGCCAATGGCAGAATCGACGCGTTGGCCATGGAACAGCAGTCATCGACGTCAAAAGTGACAGGTAAGCCGTGCTCCTTGCTTCCTGCTTCCTGCTTCTTGCACCCCTTCCGCCTTAGCGTACGTGCTGACCTTTCTCAGTCGAGTACTTCGATCCTCACCATGTCTACAAGCTTCTTGCGCCTGGCCTAGTCCCTCGATTGCCCTTGCGCAACCTCCACTGGCAGTCGCATGCTGGACCTCTCCGATCTATCGACACCCTACATGTTGATTTGGTGCCAGGCGATGCCTCGCAGCCACCCGAACCCGCGGCTCCCAAGTCAAGGCGGTCTACGAATGCCTCGCGTGACGATGGCTTCCAAACCCAGCAAGTGGGCGGAGAGGCCAGCTCGACAGACACAGTTGACAAGCAGGCTGCGGCGACCAAGACCTCCCCATCGGGCCAGCGGCGCCATCAGATCCCCGGCCTGCGCAGCACCCCCTATCTCAAAGTGCTCCTGGTACGGTGCGACGACAACGATTCATACAAGGCCACGGTGAGAGCAGAGGTTCGCGAGTGGATCAAGGAGCACACGCCGCCATCGAACTCGTCCAAAAAAGCCAGCAATCAGGAGAAGCACGATGCCTTTGAGTGGCTCATATTGCATGTCGTCATCCCCAATACTGCGGCTGCCACTCAACCCCGAAACACTGGAAGCAAGGGTGAGGGGGGTTCAGCAGAAAAGGCATCAACTACTTCACGATGGAGACCAGGGTCAACGCCATTGATGGAGAAGTTTCGATCAGATTTCAACTCGTCTAGCAAAGGCGCACCGGACCGTGTTGCCCAGATTCGCATCGGCATCAACGATGTGCCGTACGACCTACTGCCAAGGGTAGTTCCTGCTGTGCCGTCTGGATACTCGGAGACAGAGCAAGATGCAGAGAATGCATGGAACGAGCTGATGAGCAAATTCAAGAGCTTAATTCTGAGCTCTTTTGATATGCGAGTAACACAATACGAGGAGGATATTAAAGAAAAGGACGGTCAAAGAAGTCTACCCGGCTGGAACTTTTGTACCTTTTTCATCCTGAAGGAGGGTTTGGCACGCGGGTTCGAAAATGTTGGTCTTGTCGAGGATGCCCTCGTCGGATACGACGAGCTGAGCATTGGGCTTGATTCAGTCATTCAAGAACAAGTCGAGAGCGGAGCGCCGGAGAAGCACGGCGGCGTCATGTTAACATATACGGAGGAGCTGCAAAGGATGGCCAGGCAAGTCTTAACGGAGCTATCAGGGGACGCCGGTGATGAGGTAGCCGTGGACTTGCAAAGGCAGGAAACGGCCTCAAACGATGCCGACGATATCCCCATCAGCTCATCGAATAAGGCCTACCGCGATATGATTCTTGCCAACCAAGTGTCCGTTTTTGATTTCAGATGCTACATCTTCTCAAGGCAAATATCACTACTCCTGCGTTTGGGTAATGCATTTGCAACACGGGAAGAATTGCTGGCCAAGTTGATGGATCAGCGCAATTCGATTCTCCATGGCGTGGCGCCGCTCCTACCGCCCATGAATAATGACGATGGACCTGAAAATTTGGGCATGCTCTCCGAGGTATGCCGACGGACTTTGGAGTTTATTCCAGTAATATCCCAAGTGATGCGCCAAGATATCACCGCCTCCTTGTTAAATGATACCAATCCCAATACTGCAGACAATGCACAAGTGACGACCTTGGATCCATTCTTGCTGGAGACGATGGACAACATGGTTGCATCGTTTGCATTTACCATTGCCCAGCAGATTCTCGTCCAAACGTCGACCAAAGCACTGCCAATCCCACTGCCGACCTTGGTCATGGAAGACGGAGCCGAGCCAAAGTCATCAATCCCAGAACCGAAGACTATGCTACATCCAGCGAGATCCTCGTCATTGCAAGCGCAGCCGTCATCTCGGCCACCTTCTAATCCCAACTTTCCCGGTCCTGGTAGGAAACCGAGTCTCGCAGAACCTGAGCCACAGGCGTCGTCGTTCCTCAAGGTTGGGCTTGAAGAATTGGCGGCTCGTCGTGCGGAGCTGTACATGCTATCCAGGAGAATATTAGAAGGCCTGGGCAAAAAGCGCGGCTGGTCCAACGGCTGGGATGAAGCACCATTGGTTGGTGAACCTGGGCTTGACGGCATGGAAGAAATCAGTCTCGATGATGGTGGTGCTGGTGGTGGATGTGGCCGTGGTTCGAGCATTGGAGGCAAATCTAGCACAGAATCTACTGCACCTTCAATCGCTGGTGTTGACAGTCAAATCCTGCGGACGGCCACCGATAACACAGTCGACTTTTATCGTCTATACGAAATTCTCACTGGCAAAGCTAGCCACCACTTTGCCGTTGCCAATCATGTTCATTCCGTCACGACTTGCAAAGCTGATCTGGCCATGCTCAAATTTCACACGAAAGAATACAAGGCTGCCACCAAACACTTCGAAGAGGCCACTCCATTCTTTGCCGAAAATGGATGGTCACTCTTGGAGCTATCTCTGCTGGTCATGTATTGCCAGTGTCTAAGCGAGCTCGGGTCCGACGATCACTATGTCAATGTTGCGATGACGCTTCTCATCAAGTCGTGTGCCGCTGAAAGAGAACGACGGGAGCGGAAGGCTGCCGTAGTAGCGCTGCCAAAGGCCACCATTCTCGATAGCTCGCCTACCAAGCAGGTCGCAGCCAAACTATTTGCACTGACTTCAAATCTCTCCTCAGAGGTCAAGGTGCCCCTATCAAAATTCTTCATGGATGTTGAGTTGGAAGGAACACCCGTATACCACGACCGCAAAGATGGGTTTTCGTTAAAGATTCAACTCAGGAGTCTGCTGCCAGAGAAGCTGACGCTGGATTCCGCAAAGTTAAGAATAACATGTACAGATGGAGGACCACGCAGAGACATCAACTTGGAAGTCGACGAGGAAATTGTTCTCTCTCCAGGCAAGAATTCAATCTCTGTAGCGTGCAATGTATGTCAAAGCTGTCGATTTTTGGGTCTGATTCTATTACTAACTGCTGCCCAGTCCGTCATTCCCGGAAGCTATCGTGTAAGCCGGCTGGCTTTGGTATCCAGCAAACTATTCCTCCACCACGAACAAGATGTCAACTCCTTGCCTCCCCGGACAAGCAGCATCTTCCAAGATCCCGATGTAACCTTGTTTCAATGCCCCAATGCGCTTGACGTGCAGTTGACGGCCAGCAGACACATAAGCCTTGGCAAGAACAACGCGCTTGATCTCATCATTCGTTCTGGGTGGAACACCTTGAAGGGCTGTGAAGTCAAAATCCGACCAACAACCGGTGGTCTCCGTCTGTTGACCACAGAAGCAAAACTTGTCGACGAATCCATCCAGTTTGCGAAACGCCCAGAATCTGGGGCGCTTTTCTTCGGTCCGATGGAGGAGGCGACATCCATTACTGTGCGCTTGCCTTACTCCATTGAGCAGGATCTGGGCGACGTTTCAGTCAAGGTAGAGGTTACATATGTAACAACAAGTGACGAATCATTCCAGCTCGCAAAGTCGATCATGATTCCGGTCTCGCTCGCAGTTGGGGTGAATGTACAAGACGTGTTCAAGCATAATGCGCTGTTCTCGCGGTTCAACGTGGACACTGCGTCCTCCAGCCCACTGCGACTATTCAAGAGCGAGCTTGTGGAGTCGGAGCTGTTCGAACCCTCGTTTGGCATCCCGCCAGCCAATACAGTCATGGTTTTCCCAAAGCAGCATGCTACATTACTCTATAAAGTAAAAAGGAAGGAGGGGGCGAAGGTGGCTGCACGAAGCGGCAGGATACTGCATCTCAAGTTATACTACAGCGTGCTGCAGACGGAGATAGAGGAGCGCATAAAAGAGTCGATTCTAGAAGGACTCAAAGACACGCCGCTGGAGCTGTATTCCAAGGTGACGGCGGCGCGTGTACTGGAGGAAACAAGGAACGGGCTAGAGGCCCACGATCTAGAACGAGCAGCGCTGGTGGGCGAAGTCACAACATCGTATCTAGAGAAGGCCCGGTGGGCACATCACTTGCGTGGTCTTGGATGTGTGCCCGGCACAAGGGACGATGCGACGACAAAATTGGCCGAGTTTCTCGACGATTGGCAGAGGAAGCACCCTCGCATGACCCTCCCAACAGGCACACCAGACGAACCATGGTCCATTGTCATACCCGTCGAGGTCCCATCCCTCTCCGTTGTCCACACAGCCGACATTCGCATCGAGCAATCTCTCCTAGACCACCTTGAGGGACCCTCAGCGGGCGCTCCAGCAGCCTCGGTAAACCAAGTCCTTCCGGCGACACTCCACCTCAAATGGACACGCATCTGGGACACTGACGCGCTGGCTCGGGAGGACGAAGAGTTCAGCTACGAGGTCACGGCGCCCAGCGACGCATGGGTCATTGGCGGTCGTCGAAGGGGACACTTTGTCATCCCTGGGGGCAAAGCACCCAGCACCATGTCGTCAACTGCAGAGACGGAGGCCGAAATCCCGCTGGTGCTGATCCCCCAGAGGGAAGGCTATCTGCCGTACCCAACGGTGGAAATTAAGGATG